AAGATGGTATCCTTGATATTTTCTGAGTGGCTTTCAGCTGCTCAAAATGCAAACCAGCATTGCTTATCGCACAACCTACACGTGCTCGACATAGTAATTATATGTGCGAACCACGTGACTTGCGTAAGCAACGGACGTGCAGTTGCACGGAGGAACCGGGCAACGAATTTTGAGTTCATCCTATTGTACAACTTGATATCGAAGCAGCAGACTATGATTAACGAAGTTATCGTATTTCAAGCGATAAGCAGGAGCGAGGTTAATGTACGCCGAGTAGATCTACCACTCGCGCAAGAGCTGCTGGCCGGCAAGGTTTCGGATTGGACCGCATTTCAGTTCTGTCAAATCATGATTTATCTTGCAGGAATGCGGTTCTAACTTCTAGCGATGACATACTAAAAGAAATATTTTGCTCATTTGTTTTCAACTGGATGACGTTTGGATCCCGGGTCGCAGAGTCTCAGGCAATCTGACGCTTAACGACTCGACCTCACCTCAGCCGACTTGCTTAACCACTTATGGTCGAAGAGTAACAATCCAGTCGCAGGTGGTGTAGCGCTTAGAATCTGAGTTTTTTTGCGTGCTTCTGACTCGGGATACACAGGGAGAATAAACAGAACAAAGGATTGCAAGGCTGACCAGGTTAAATGCGCTCATTGTTGCCAATTGAGTCAATAAAACCGAAACCAAGACAAAATAAGTTTTTTGGCGCACGTTTTGCGATCTCGCGCATAATGGCGCGAGGTATTGGCTGTGGCGCAGTTTCAGCAACATGGCGCAGGATGGTGCAGACCATAGCCTCCTCTATACTGATAATGCCTGGCCGATGGTTGGCTCCCCCTTGCTTCGTCGTCGTTGCGCCTGCTTCACATATTTGCTACTAGAGGCGCCAAAACCCCATACAAAAATGCAGAAGACTCTTCTTCGCTGCGTGCTGTTACAGTCCACTGTGATGCCGTTTGTGAATTGAATACATTCGTAACCCGTGCTACATAGCAAGCGCAGGGCACCGTCAGTATATATTTCATATATAAAACAAGTATTATACATGTCCTTTAGCTTCCACATCTTGGTTTTGTTTCTATGCTGAAATGTTACCAGACCTCTGGTGCTTGTCATATCGACAACAGAAATAGTCAATGCAAATTAAAAAGGAGACAGACAAGCTGGCGGACTTCCGCAGCGTTGAAACAGCGACCACTTAACGTTTCCTTTTTTTTTCTTTTTTTGTTTCTGGAGCAGAGTTGCAAAACATACGGCCCGTGGACCACATGCGGCAGTCAAATGTTTTTTCGCGGGACCGCGAACGCGTCCCCACTTACCGAAAACCTGCGCACCTCTCGGCAGCGCTCTGACCGGGGATCTTGAGATGCATTTTCAATTTGTTTTTTAAGCGCACAGCCGCTTGATATTTTTGACAGGTCTCCTGTGGTCCGCACTGTTTTTCACGTATGCAGTTCTAGAGTTTTAACAACTTCCTAGATAGTGGCTTGTTGGAGAAGATCTTCTTAGGTTATGCTTGTTAGTCACGGATGCCGAGTAGTTTGTGAACTTCTGTGCTAGTACACAGAAGTTGTAGGAAACCTTTGTAATTGTTGACATCTTTCTCTGCCTTTGCGTATTTCAGAGCCCCATGGTGCCCAAGGGTATCCACCACAGTCTCGGCAGCTGCATGCAAAGGCTTTCTCAGCATATTTCGTTTTTGCAGTAAAATCTCTACGAAGCCCTTCAGTGCATACAACACCCTCACTACTTCTTTGATGGATAGTATAGTCCTCCCCTATCCTGGTGCCTGAGGAGGGAATCACTAGGAGCCATAGAAGCCCTGCTTAATGACCACCGTAAGGTACAACTCGCGAGTCCGAGTTGCAAACAGGCACACGGTGTGATGCGACTTAGAATGCAGCACAAGGAGTCGGGGCTAAGTACAAGATGCTGCAGTGCCCATGATCAATGAATGAAGTAAAATGACTGCGCGTATACGTGTGGCGTCACAGTGTGCGTGCCACGAGCCGCAGACAGCCCCGTGCTATTCAGCTATGCCGGCTATTGCTAAGCACTCTAGAGCTGTGCGGGTCGAACGATGACCGAAAGAAGTTACTTGTGTCACAAAAAAATTACGTGATCAAGCGACCTATTTGATTACGTAAAGTCACGTTCGCGCGTAACCTAACATGGAAAATTTACGTTATCACGTAGCTTAACGGATAATGTAGCTTACACTAGCTACAGTGAACTGTAGCAGCAGACAGCGGAAAAGCATCATCTGCATTTCGGTATGGGGTTTCGGCGCCCATAGTAGCAAAAAGGTGAAGTAGGCGCGACGACGACAAAGCAACCATTGGGCAGGCATTTTCAGTATAAAGGAGACTATGTGCAGACACATGCGTCTGGCGCAAATGGCGCAGCCGTTCCACTCCTGCTTACTGGAAAAAGGTCCCATTGTACACAATCCTGTTGCATTCTTTAAAACAGTCAAACCACCCCCATTCGATGTCCAGAAGTCTTCAACACCAAGATGCCATGCACCCCGAATAGCCTTTTTGTTTACGATGGTACTGCCAACACGGATTCAAGAACTGCAAGCTTGGCGCAGCCACTTCCAGAAGACCTCTTCACATGTGCTCTGCTTGCCACTTTTTCCAGTCTTTCTTTTCATTCCGGACTTTCTCGTGCTCTGCAGAATGGTTTCTCGCTCCTCAAGAGCTGTCTTCAATGACAATAATGAAATCTCCAAATTCTGCCTTTATAAGGCACTCTCCAAATGTCATAGTATCCATTCATGAGGTATTGTTAGTTGGCGTTCACTGTGGGCATACAACCACGACAGTACAACTTTGCATTCACATCTACATGGGTACAGCGGTGGCAACAACACGGCTTATAAATGTTTGCCACTGAACGTCTGGACTGCAGAGACCGAGAGGCACAGAAATCACGGGCAGAGAACAGGCAGGTGAGCTGGGACTTGTTGCTACTCTTAATTTATGAACGTAGGGGGGGGGGGGGGGGGGGGGGGGGGGATATTTACCTCTGTTCTTTGAACAAGGAAGGATGAAAGAAAGTGAAAGCAAACACCATTGAGAGTGGAATGTAAAAAAGCAAAGGACATGTAAAACAATGAGACGGAGCAACAAAGGAAGTTCCCATGATGTCGTTTCCCCACTGAAAGCTGAACGTAAGCAGAAATGGCAATTACAGCATTCATGATGGAGGAGAATGCTGTAGCAATACAACCTTGTCCCTCCCTCCCCCTCCCCCCCTTGCCATCCCAAGTATCGAAAACACTGAAGCTTAATCTGAGTAGAAGCAAGGTGGCCAACTAGGGTGCCTCTATGCTCTTCTGTGTACGGTGCTGCCGTTCTTTATATAAACCAACACCAACTGCAAGTGCTCAAGAGGAAAGTACAAAAAAGAAAAATAGCCAGAAACAAAAAGCCACTGCAGCAAAGTCAATGCCAGAAGCTTCTGCCAAAAAACGCTCTTCCACACACTAAAAAAGAGGAAAAAAGCATAGCGAGCAAAATGGTCAGTTGTCACTACCCTAAGGAAAGTGCACATGAAGGCACCACATGCCAGATGTGTGCATCTTGGAGTCGCTGTGAGCTAGCTTTGCGCTTGCTGTGACATACGCGAGACGCACTGGCGGTGACGCCGATGCGAGCTAGGAAGCACTGAGCAGATCCACTAAGTGACGTTTGGTGGGGAAAGGCGGACTTTGTCTTCTGGATGGTATACGGAGAGCAAGTCGTTTGCTTCTTGCGCAGAAGTTGCGGTGACGTCAGAATGATGCCGAGCTCTTATTGGCTGACTGAAAAAGTGGAAGCCGTTTACAAATCCCTGTAACGCCGAATTGGAGCGCAGCTCTTGAGGAGGAGGAGTGAAGGGTACTGAGGGGAGGGTAGACCCCTCCCCCTTCTCCTCCTCCTCCCCTCATTCTTTAATATGCTCCGGGGGGGGTGTCACGTGACTTCGGGGAGGGGGTCACGTGACCTCGGGGAGGCGTGACCTGGGGGTGACCTCAAGGCCACGTGACCCCAAAGGTGACCCCCACGTGACCTCGGGGGTCACGTGACCTCAGAGGGGTCACGTGACCTTGAGATGACCTTGGAAGGGGTCACGTGACCTCGGGGGTCACGTGACCTTGGGGAGGCGACCACGTGACCTCGGGGGTCACGTGACCTCAGAGGGGTCACGTGACTTGGGGGTCACGTGACCTTCAAAGGGTCACGTGACGTTGAGATGACCTTGGAAGGGGTCACGTGACCTCGAGGGGTCACGTGACCTTCAGGGGGTCACGTGACCTTGAGATGACCTTGGGAGGGGTCACGTGACCTTAGGGGGTCACGTGACCTTGGGATGACCTTGGTTACGCCGACGGCGACGGCGACGCCGACGCCGCTCAAGCCGGGAACGGGCCCCTAAGAGCTGCGCTCTAAAAACTAGTAGGTAGATCTCAATGCTGGATGCTTTGAGGTCTACCCACTGTTTTTTTCAATCTGCCAATAAGAGCTCGGCGTAGTTCTGACATCACCGCAACTCCTGCGCAAGAAGCAGACGTCTTGCTCTCTGCATTGGCTGTAGACGTCCAATCTCCCAGAGCTGCTTGGTTTTCTATGTGCCTGGCAGGTTGTCTTACGACGCAGGCCGCGTACCATCAAGTGTTGCGATACAAACCTCTGATGCATTATTTCTATGGGGAGTTTGCAAGGCTTGTATTGAGCTGCGATAAAATGTGGGACGTCCCGCAAGCTAGAGACGCATCAGCGGGGTCCCACTGTACTAGCTGCTGCCATGAGGTCAAAGAAAAAAGTTGTGAATCTGAACCAAACCAAAACTTCTACAAAATAGACATTAATAGTATTGTTACGTAAAAGATTACCTCCAATTAACGATCTATAACTAGCTTAACCTAAGAGCTGAGAAAAGGGCGTAACATACTACTGAATATGAGGCAGTGGAAAACTAATGCATCTAGATGTTTCACAAAAGAGGCTTACAAGCTTCATGAGGTCAATCAGCTTCTGAGCATCTTCTCCAGCACACAAATCCACAACATCCCTTGGCAAAGCATAATGCCTATATGGGCTTGGCTGAACTCCATGGTTTTCTTTCATGTATCGAAATTCGGGAAACTGGAAAAAAAAAGATGATGTTGGGTCGATTTTAGTCTAAGCATTTTGATGACCTTTTCACAAGAGAAAAAAAATTTGCTCAAATGTTGTCAGCTTGGGCACTTGTGACGATAAAGTAAAATTGTGTCGCCCACTGAAGAGATTGTTAGGTACAGTTGCGGACGGACATGAAAAAGACCAGCTGAGCATATGGCTTAGAAGGCCTAAAGCGCTATCTATCAGAAGAAATATGAACCATTATCGAGGAATCAGGGGCTGTTAAATTTTTGTCGTCACTCTACACTTGACCAGAGGTTGCCGAGTTAATGCTAATTTCAGCGACAATTGTAGAGGCGTTGTGCGACAAAATTCGAAACCGTTGGGTCGGCAGGTTGAGTGATCAGTTTTCGGGCATTTGATAATAACTTCACAAAATAAAACTAACTTTTTTTACTTTATTTCACCGAGCACGCATGCTTCATCTAAAAACAGCGCCTAAATCGGTATTGTAACGACAAAAACTGAACAGCCGTCGAAATGCCACTTGTCCACAGAATAGCCTCGGTAATAACTCAGCTATTTTCCGCCATTCCTGCGTCACTGCATCAGTTTTATTTCGGCCACCAGTTCACTCCGCTGTAACTAAAGGGGGCCAAAGCATTGCCACGTGCCTTCAGTCGTCTTTTTTTCGGCTGCTCATCCAAGATATGAAAACTGTATTTACACAATTGTGCGAAGCACACAGGATGCCGAAGCATTATCGAAGCTAGGAAGCTCACGCTGAACACGAGACAACTGAAGGTCCTCCATGTCGTTCCTGTCATTGTTGCTACATTCCCAACATGCGTCGCCGGCATCGTCTAATGAAATCTTGTGCTTCACGAACGACCGCATCTTTCGTGCTTGCTTGGTGATTGCGTCGCACATTGCAGGTAAGGACGGATCACGTGCTTCTGTGGCGTATGTTGCAAGCTTGACCTTTAACTCCGAAAAGCATTCAGACCTATCCAGACTTTGGCCCGTGGAAGCCTCTTGGTTTGCAGTCACGGTTAAAAGATGCTGTGCTGCCGAAAACGCCACTGGCACACCTGCTGCGGAGACGGCTCAAACCTGTGCAGCGCAGTTGTTAATTTCTTTCGGCACAAGGAGCGCAAACCTTGAGGTGACCTCAAGGTTGGCGCTCCCTGCGACCCTGAGTTCCCGTCCGCGCGTGTTCTGGGGGCCAACAAGAACCGTTATGGGCGTGAGATCGTGGAGGCGTACGCCATAAAAGAGGCGCCGAAGAACATTTTGTCGGCCTCGTTGTCGCTGTCGGAGAGAGAGTTGATATTCCTGACACCAGAGTTAGTGACCTTAACAGGGCGGGCGAGTGGGCATTGCTCCCGAGAGGGAAATCGGGATGTCGCCGCCCTTCCTTTCCCTCCCGCTGTCTCTGCGTTTACATTCCCCCCCGTTTTTCACCCGGGGCCTTGTCTTGATCCCCTCCTTCCCCTTGCCCCTCCCTTTAACTTTCCCTCTCCTATAGAGGAGTTCTGAAGGCGATGCGTTCCGGCAATAAATCTTTCGTTTGTTGAAAGGTGTGTTGTTCCGTCCTGCTACGTACGCGCCGTACGAGCCAGCGGTACGAGCCATGTTCCCCGACCGACGGAGAGCAACCCGACACCCCCGATTTCGCAAGCGGGGCCCGGCGGAGCTTCCCTCTCCAGTCTCTCTCCTGGCTGAAACATAAGCAGCGGCGGATCACTGCCGCTCCCCGGCACGCAGAAGATGCTCTGTGCTGGTTTTGACTTGACGCCTTTCTTTCGCTATAATAAACACAGTTAACCGCACCTTGACTCAGCCACTGTCACTCATAAAGTAGTCACATCAATGGCGACGAGAACAACGATATCGAAGCCCTTATCCAGATGCCCAACATCTGACAAGGCAAGTCCCGACGGTTTGTGATTTCTTCTCGGAAAGAACTCTAAGTGAAAGAAAGATGGCGACTATCGGCACCGCCCCAGCGTACGACGCGGAAGTGGTTCTTCGTCGGTAATCGGATTATCGACGACAAGCAGAAGACCGGGATCTTTCTGTCTTGCGTAGGACCGAAGACCTACTGGTTACTTCGAAGTTTATTGACTCCCATAAAGCCAAGCACAAGGACGTTCGAGGAGCTCCTGAGGACCCTGAACCAACACTTCTCACCGAGACCATCCGAAATAATGGAACGGCATAACTTCAATAGCCGCTCCCAGCAATAGGAGGAAACTATTTCGGAATTTCTGGCAGCTCTCCGCAAACTCACCGAGTTCTGCAACTTCGGCGACACCCTCGACGTCATGATCCGGGATCGACTGGTCTGTGGTGTGCGCGATATAGGAGTGCAGAAGAGACTGCTGGCAGAGTCAGCGCTGACCTTGGAGAAAGCAACGCACATAGCACTGGCGGTGGAGACCGCTAGCAAGAATGCATCGGACTAGAGAGGAGAAGGCTTGGACCATCCCCAAGTCAACAAGGTGAGCGAACGAGCTGTGAAGAATAAGCATGTGGAACGCTTTCCGCGAAACAAAGCACCCCAGTCTCAAGGGCATCAGCACAAGAAGTGCGGACAATGTGGCAACAACGACCACGACCCAAAAAAATGTCCTTTTATGTCAACTGCCTGCTTTAAATGCGGAAAAACGGGACATCTCGCAAGGGTGTGCAAGTCGCGCTCTCAGGCAAGTGGTTCGGCACGCCATGGTCAGGCCAACGTCATCGCTGCAGCACAATCGGACCCCGCAGAGGAATTGGATCTTCGCGCGATTAACAGCGTCAGTGAGCTGCCGATGCACAAGCCATGGACCATTCCGCTGAGTTGGAACGGAATTCCTGTCAACATGGAGGTCGACACCGGTTCCCCAGTATCAGTCATTTCGGTGAGTGTTTACCGACAACACCATCAGTCATGGCCTAAACTGACCTCTTGCCAGACGAAGCTATCGTGCTACCTGGGAGCCCTACCAGTTAAAGGAGTTCTCCACATGACAGTGGAACACGAAGGACAGAGTGCAAAGGCGTCAGTCTACGTCTCGGACTGCAATGGACCGAGTCTGTGCGGCCGCGACGTAATTGGAGCGCTACATCTACTCCAGAAGATCAACTTCGCCGAGGCGGAAGACCGGGTCTCCGAACTCAAGACGAAGTTTGATGAGTTGTTCAAGGCAAGATCTCTTCCCTATGCGCTGCGAGACAAGGTTTCAGCTGAGCTCGACCGTCTTTGCCAAGAAGGAATCCTGTCGCCGGTGACACATTCTGAGTGGGCGACTCCCATCGTGCCGGTGATGAAAAAAGACTGTTCCGTGAGAATCTGTGGGGACTTTAAGGTCACACTAAACCCTGCCTGTGACATTGAACAGTACCCTCTCCCAAGAATCGAGGACTTGTTCGCATCACTGAATGGCGGAGAATGCTTCTCGAAATTGGACTTGAAGGATGCGTACCAACAGGTTCCTCTCGACAAGTCGTCAAAGAAGGTGGCAGTGATAAACACGCATCGTGGACTCTACTGCTACAACAGACTGCCCTATGGAATCGCCTCGGCCCCGGCGATATTTCAGTGCAGGATGGAAGCACTCCTACGCGACCTTCCGGGGACGCAGGTTTTCCTCGACGACATTCTGGTGGCAGAACGCGAGGAAGAATTCGGGCGAAACTTGGAGAAAGTACTCCAGAAACTGCACAGCAGCGGTGTTCGTCTTCGAGAGGACAAGTGCGAATTCCGGAGGCAAGAGGTGACCTACCTTGGACACCGAATTGACCGTGATCGGCTACATCCTGAGGAACAGAAGCTAAAGGCCATCAAAGAAGCGCCAACACCAAGAAATGTGCAAGAGCTAAGGTCGTTCCTTGGATTCTTCACGTATTATAGGAGCTTCATTCCCCGCATGTCAACCATGCTCAACCCCTTGTACGACCTACTCAAACTGAGTGCGAAGTGGCAGTGGGACACGGCCCAAGAAACAGCGTTTCTGGAAGCAAAGAACGCAATCCAGAACTGCGGATTTTTGGCTCATTTCGACCAATCAAAAGAAGTACTGCTGGAGTGCGACGCGTCGCCATATGGAGTGGCAGCGGTGCTTTCTCACCCGATCGATGGCGTCGCGAGGCCGATTGCGTTCCGCTCCAGGACCTTATCGCCCGCTGAAAAGAACTACTCGCATCTCGAAAAAGAAGCTCTTGCCTTGATCTTTGGTGTCACCAAATTCAGAGATTATCTCCTGGGGAGACAATTCACACTGGTGACAGACCACAAACCCCTTGTTGGACTCTTCAGGGAAGACAAAGCTATCCCAGCAACAGCGGCTAGCAGGATCCAGAGATGGGCTCTGACACTTGGTGGATACATTTACAACACACGCCACAGGGCTGGAAAGTGGAACGGCAACGCCGACATGCTAAGCCGGCTTCCCCTGAATGATGGAAGTCAATCACCGACAAGCCCAGAGCAAGTGGCCTTCGTGAAGCAACTGGAAACAGCACCACTTTCGGTGAAACAACTAGCGGATTTGACAGCTGCGGACCCGGAGTTGAGTAAACTTCGAACGACTATCCTGGAAGGATGGCCAACTCAGCCACAAGATCCCACTCTCGAACCCTTCTGGACTCGTAGAGCGGAGATGTCGGTGGAGGAAGGACTTGTGGTGTGGGGTAGAAGAGTGGTAATTCCACGAAAGGCAAGGCGAGCAGTGCTGCTGGAGCTACACGACGCCCACTCTGGCATGGCTGCGATGAAGTCCTTGGTCAGATCGCTCTGTTGGTGGCCAAACATGGATTGCGACAACGAGAACATGGCCCGCGACTGTCATCAGTGCCAGCAAGCGCAACCTATGCCGCCCTCAAGGGAGCCACTGTCGTGGCCTGCAGCGACCATACCCTGGTCAAGAATCCATATCGACTATGCGGGGCCAGTCGACGGGCAAATGCTGCTAATTGTAGTAGACAGCTACTCTAAGTGGATTGAGGCTGTTCCGGTGAAGAATGCTACTTCAGAAAAGACCGTAGAAGTAATGCGAGGATTATTTGCTCGTTTTGGGGTACCATATTGCATCGTCTCGGACAATGGCACTCCCTTTACCGGGCAACCCTTTAAAGACTTCACATCCCAGAACGGCGTGCGTCACGTTCGAACTGCACCATATCACCCACAGTCGAATGGACTCGCCGAACGGGCTGTGCGAACGGTGAAGTCGGCTCTGAAAAATATTTCTGGCAAAGACCTACAAACAAAGCTGGACCGCTGGTCGCTTTCATACCGGCGAACACCCAACAGCACGTCAGGAAAATCTCCGGCAGAACTCTTGGTAGGACGTCAGATACGTTCGAGATTGGACCTCATTAACCCCGCACGACTGGAGAAAAAGGAAGAACAACCACCTCAGATCACCGCTGACAAACGACTTCAACCAGGAAGAACCGTGTTTATCCGTAACCACGGATCGGGTTCCCGTTGGATTCCGGGAGTCGTAAAGGAGACGAAGGGAGCGCGCATGGCAATCGTTACTACACCAGACGGCGATGTTGTCCGACACGCCGACCAGATCAGGCTGAAGATTCCGGAAATGGAAACACCAACTTTTGAGGACGACACATGGATGGACGACGTCGGCATTCCCGAGGCGCCAAACATGCCAGTGCCAAGAAGGTCAACTCGTCCGAGACGGAAACCTTCGCGCTTTCAGGCCGCCTAATGTAAACTAAGGGTGGAGGAGTGCTACGTACGCGCCGTACGAGCCAGCGGTACGAGCCATGTTCCCCGACCGACGGAAAGCAACCCGACACCCCCGATTTCGCAAGCGGGGCCCGGCGGAGTTTCCCTCTCCCGTCTCTCTCCTGGCTGAAACATAAGCAGCGGCGGATCACCGCCGCTCCCCGGCACGCAGAAGATGCTCTGTGCCGGTTTTGACTTGACGCCTTTCTTTCGCTATAATAAACACAGTTAACCGCACCTTGACTCAGCCACCGTCACTCATAAAGTAGTCACATCACGTCCCCTGTATTTTTGTATATCACTCTTTCTAAAAATACACCATTACCAACGCGCTCACTAAGAAGTAGGAAAAATGGGTTGACCTACAATTGTGTAAATACGGTATCAACATATTCCACTGCAAGTTCCTTTTAACATTTAAATAAATGTTCTAAGAATGTGAACGAGGGGGAGGGGGCTGTTGGCATTTATGTTTACCTAATGGTCTGGTGGTAGTGCAGACTGTCAGTTATTGCCAGATTTGGGGTTAACACACACTACTTCAACCATCAGATTTGCTGACCTAAATAATGTCTCCACATTTTTAAAAGGAATGCATAACGAGACCTTCAAAACTGGAACCCAACAATTCCCAGCAAAAGTGTTCATAAACTGGAAGCGAGCAATGTTCATCACCACCACGTGCTTCTGTTGGCCATGACCTGAGCATGCAATGTGCTCCTTACATCATTAGAATTTGGCAATCTTCATCAGAGTGCTAGTAGGCCATAAACGCAAGAGCAGATATTTGCCGTCAGATTCTGTCACCAAGCACAAGTCACCAGCAAACCGATACTCGCATCAAACACATGAGTTGCATTCAGCCGCGACGCATACGGGAACGTTTGGTCCCAGAAAAAACACAATAAAGTGAGAAAAAATAAAAAAAAAAGGTCCACACTTGTGTTAAGTTTTGACAGCAGAACTCATGTTCTATACTGCTCACCCCCATTGTGTACTTCTCTGTCCCCAACACAAAATGAGTTAGAAAAATTCAAGTTCAACTTTGAACAATGGTCTTCTTAACAGGGCAGTAAATCATCAAACTGGAGAATTAGTTCACCTTTTCTTCTTCTGTTGAGATATATTCGCATAATGAACACACTTTTTTTTCCTGAAAAATTGACACATACTTGGGGGGTGCGTTCATTACGTGGGATAAAATTTTTGCACTTACACACTTTGTGCAATGTAATTTTAGGTGCCCATATGACATGGCAGGGTACTGTGGCACGTCTCCACAGACAGAGGCGTATTCCAGGCTGGTCGTGGGCGCGCCACAGTAACCATGCTATATAAATTGCAAACCTTTTTTAGCTTCGTAGGGCGCTTTTTCTTCGACAAAAGCGCCCTACGAAGCTCACGCAGCACGGAGAGCGACGCGACCCGTTCTTAGGCCTAACCACTTTCATGATATTACTGTCCGAATGCGGATCATCCGATGGACGAAGCGGCACGCATGGAGCGGTTCATCGCGGGATGCGGGCAAACACTACACGGAGGCGCAAGAGAAACTCGAGTAGCAGGAAGACTCAATCTTTGACGTCACTGCACTGGCATAAATCGCGCGAGAACTTCCAGTTCGGCTTTTGGAAATTGTTTTTTTTACTTCACAAACAGTGAGTTCCTAAGTTTCAAATTTTGAGGGTAATTAATGTGCAGGCTTTGTATTCAATCCTTTCGGATAATAAAAAAAAAATTATTCTGAACTGTCAGTGACCCTTTAGGGGGTTAAAAGCTGACCTACAGATAGGGTGACCACCTTCCTGCTAGCAAAATGCGGAACAAGGAGGAGGGGGTAGAGGAAATTTATGAATACGCACACCACGAACTGAGGCTCTGTTAACACATTTAATATCCTGTCCTGTTTATACACCTGCAAATTGTATTGCAGCAATTAAGCTAAAATAGTTTTCACTCTCAGTGATATATATTTATATGCCAAATACGTTATTAAATGTGTCAAAGTTGAATGCATAGAAATCAACTGCTGCAGCACTCAATGCATCAAATGAAATTAAGAAACAGTGAACTTTTTTCAGGTTATCATTTCCTGTCAATGCTTACTTTTATCAACATGGTCCCACACAATTATTTAACATTATGCTCTTTTTCTTTCTGCCTTTAAAAAAAAACAAAAAAAAAACACTTTTTTTTTTTTTGTTTTGATACAGTGATATGCAAATAATGGCAATAAACGAGCAATTTTCTCCTACAAAATTTTGCCACTAAGGGGAAAGTCAGAACGGCGCATGCGCGTCGGGTCTCCTGCAAGAACGACGGTAGCTTTGCAATGCTTGCATAGAGAATGGCGTACCACTGCAATACACACGATTACCAGTGACCTCCGTGCTTTCCCCTGCGCCGTTGTTCGGCAGCATCACGAGTTGGAGAGTGAATTTTACGACAGTGTGAAATGCGGGACGTTTTGAAAATTAGGGAATTTCTCGCGGGACACGGGGCACGAGCCCTCAATGCGGGACAGTCCCGCGAGTCCCGGGACGGGTGGTCACCCTACTTACAGAACCGTCTTCTGCCGGGAAGAAAACCAGTTCCCTTCTCTTTATTCCTTCTCACACTTTCCTACACCTCTCCCCACGGGAGAGGGCCTCTAATTTACTCCCCACACAAAGGAGGAAAGTCTCCCCCTTTCTTGAAAGGAAAGCCCCCTTTCCTGCAAGAAAAGGAGGAACTGACGAAAAGTTTCCTCCTTTCGGGCTGCTCGTTGGTCTTTAAGCCGAGTGCAGTGGAAGGTACGAACTTGTTGGGCCAGTCGTATGCAGGGACAGGTAATGAAAGGGAAGCGGTTGATACGTCCGGCGAGAGCATAGCTCCCACCGCACTGTCATCTTAGAGGTGAAAGTACAGGTCAATTCCCAAATGGCAAAACGATCACATTATCCCTTTCTTTTTTTTTTTTTTTTAAACGGAAGTCTCAAAAACCGTACCTAATACAGACACAATGGGCAAACGCAAGCACAGCCTAGGCTCAATCAGTGCCCTAAGGGGCACGTGCAAACGATGCAGAGACCACTTACGCCGGGATTCTCACACGCTTCGAGGCTGTCCAGCTCTTCCCAGTCAAAGAGCAGGGCATCGGTATGAACACCAAACGGGTTAATGTCGAGAAGCTTGACTGTATCCTAGAAGAGGAAAGTACAAAATGAGAGATGCAACTCGGCCGATATTGAGAAAAGTTTGAATGCAACAAACTAGCAAGGAGCAGGACTTAAAAAGAGTACCGTAAGATCCCAAACAAACACCCAGCTTCTTAAGATTTTTAGGGTTGTGCGAATAGTGGATTTTGAGTTCGAATCGAATTCGAAACAAATAGTGATTTTGGTCGAATATTTTCGAATCGAATATCGAATACTTACCGTTCAAAAAACTTGGCCATTTTTAGAGGGAAGTTTACAGAAATACTTCCAAACTGGACTTCTCACGCTGTTGTTAGTATATTGGCCCACCGAGTTAGCCGCCATTATCTTGACAATGTCGATGTCATTATCTCACCTTGTCGCTGTAATAATATAATATTGCTTCAAAATATTATAGTTTAAATGGTTTGAAACCGTGTTTATGAGTTTTATCGGAAATAAAAGTTTCTGAGCAATTATGCATGTTATGAGAAATTTCTAAAAGTATTTATTTTTATCCTAAACTTGTTTTTCTATATTTATGCCTGGACGTGGCTTTGGTGAGAAAAGAGTGCTGGCATCCAGGGCACCCAGATTGGCGAAGATGGCGCGGGCGTCTCTGGAGTTCTTTGCTCGGTTTCTTTTGCTCGTTATTAAAAAAAGATTAAATAATTAGTATAAATATATTTCGAAGTTCCCACCATAGTATTTATACCATTTTGCCGAACGTGTGAGCATATTCCTGATTTTAGATATTGTTTCTTTCTGGTCTTTAGACAGTAAAAAAACTTGCGATTGTGACTTTGCGAACACTTCGAAAAGCACGAATATTACAACTTCTCTCGAAGCGAATATCGAATAGAGTACTATTCGAAGCTACTATTCGAAAATTCGAATATTCGCACAACACTAAAGATTTTCCATCTTGCCTCTCCAGCAAAATGTCTTAGGGTGAGAAACACCTAAGCAAGGCCCACGCCAACGAATTCCCGCCATCCCCGTCAAATTTTGAGTTCCCGGCTAACAAAAGAGTATGCTGGGGTACCGAATTGGATTGGTCAGAGTTCAGTGCTGGACAACACCCCGAACAGGATTATGAACACTTTATATTTGCAACAATTGTGGTAATAAAAATATCAGTGATGTGATTGGCCTAAGCCATTTTGGAGCACCTTTCGGAGCAACCAAAACACTAATTTGGAGCAGCAAAAGTGTCTTTCGGAGCAGCCAAGACAGTGTTTCGGAGCAGCAAACATGGCTTTCAAAACAAATATTCCTAAAAAAAAAAAAATTGTTTTAATTGCTTTACAAACGAAGGGCACTTTGTGTCGTGTTCTGGTGTGACGTGTTGTGACGGAACTCGCTGCTTGTGTTTTTACTGCTGAGACATCCCACAAGTGTACAGTGCTGCAGGCATTGCAAAGCGATTCCAAAAAACCACTTGGCATCGTTTTCCTGGTTCCCGACGTGCCAGGTTTTTGTCAAAAGTAAGCAACAGTTAAAACAATGGATTGTAAGCGTCCCGGCTGGTGCCTCTGTCGTGCACTTGTGTTCACATGCACGTGAGGGCAACTTCGGCAAGCTTGCAGTTGCGCGTGCTTCGTCGTGCGAGCAAAGACAACGGCTGTTCGATCGAAACCAAAACCATGCCACTCCTCTCCGTTGCCAACTGATTCCCAAAATTGTGTATGCGAAATGTAACTGCCGAGCATACGACAAAAATCAGACCAGCGGCGCGTGCTTGCCAAACCGGCAAATAAGGTACGAGCTAAACACACACAAAAAAAGAACCTGAGCGCATTGATGCAAGACATCGCGAGCCAGGGTTAAAACGTTCTTGGAGCGCTTTGTGCAACGACTGGACTCGAGACAAACAAGCCAGCTGTGTGGTTTCAGCGTGCAGACATTGCCTTCGTTGCTTTCGCTCACTTCTCTTCACCAACTTTCCTTAGCGGCAGATTTTTCACGTACCGGGGTCCCTTTGAAAGAAAGCCCACCGAGAGAAACCTAGGTAATCAATACTTCCACACAGCACTCTTAGAGTTAAAGATGGATTTTTGTAGTAACGTATGATTTAAACAAGAACAGGAATATTTTGAACATGCGGCGGTACTTAGTTTCATTTTAGAAAGCGCCATATCTGCAGCGACGTCGCACTACCACGGTGACTAGAAGGCAGGGACCAAATATAGTTTTCCCACGACCGTTACTCCCGCCACGCAAAAATGCGGTTTTGTTCCACAGCATGACGGCGTGGCTGGTATCCGGCACGCTAGCGTCGGAACGTCTACACAGACCCGCGTCTCTCGTTGGAAATGTTTAAAAAAAGACGCCAGACGAGACCCACAAGACGACGAGAGCGCGAAACGCGAAAAGGCGGGAAAACCATGCAAAACCGGATGGACAATTGATTCAGGGTACTTTGTGTCGGGCGGCCGCTTGCGCCATACGACACAAGCATGCTCAATTATGGTATTCAGTTTAGTTTCGTTTATGAAAGGCGACCGAAATTGGTTTTTTTTTGCGCAGGCTTGGCACAGATTACCCATATTTTGGCAAAATGTAGCAGGATGTAGCAGGGTTAGCACCTTAGCTCAGCAATCACATCACTGAAATAGAAGGAAAAAAAAGACTGCTACAAATTAATCACCAGGATTTGTCATTTGCCATTTTGTATGCCAGTCCACCACGTGTACGCTTTAGTCCACCATGTTTATGCCAGGCACGGTCTAGACTCGGCGTTGTCCATTTTGTGGTACGTCGTCGAAGCAGCTAGGTGTAGCTTCTCCAGCCCTCCAACTCTGTCCCAGCCAGCTGTGCGAGCGCACGCGATGGAGACGACGCGAGATGCAGCCACACGCTCTTGCAGCGGCGCCGGGTCACAGCGCCGCAGAAGCCACGCCAGCCTAGACGACGAGCACAAAATATAGTCGACGTCGAGTACAGTGCAGGGCTGCAAAACTCGGAAAACGATGTGGGCCAGACCAATTTTAATTTGGAATCCCGCAGTCCACAGCTACCGTGCCCGGAACACGTCTCTGACCGGTCCGCTTAGCATCCCTTTCTGCCCACACACCAAAAACGGTTCCTAAGTGGCAACAAACGACGTCGCAGAAGCTGGCACGCGATGCCGTCGGATGCTGCAACCTGGCGGTCAGCGCCAGGAGTTCCGGCAGAACTACCTTCTGCCGGGCGAAGGCGAGTTTTGTCGTCGCTGCAGCGTCTCAACTCCTGGCTGCCAAAGTTTCCGTCGACTGTCGAGCTAGAGAGCAACGGGCGTCTGTCACAAGCGCCGCCGTAGCTGCTGCGATACCGCCAGGGTTGCGGCCGGCGACGGTGCGACGCTTTGGCGACATCATCAGGTGGAGATCGCGGCCGGCGACGGCGCGACGCATCAGTAATGTCATCAGGTGGAGATTGCGGCTGCCGACGGCGAGACGCTTCAGAGACGTCATCAGGTGGAGATCGAGGAACCAATCTCCACCTGATGACGTGACGACGTTTTTTGGGACGTGGTAAACACGGCAATCAAAGGTGTCGGGCACCTCCGACTGCCGGACACCACCATCTAACGAGGTGTCGGATATCACCACCCAACGAAAAACGCTGCAGCTTTCTGTAGGCGACAGTCCGACGACCCGGGGTCGCCAGCGTTCGTCTTTGTATTCTTAACACATTGTGGAATGTTATATCTACCGAAAAACAACCTGAAACGATCCCGTATTTTTGAATAAATATGAAAAAGTGGCACGAGCGCTCAAGAACAAAGTGTTTTACGATTCAAATTTATCCGAGAAATTCATATATCTAAATTTTATTGCTTAGACGACTCTGGTGCCTCCGACGCTCTTTCTCTGCGATGAGACTCAGCTGGCTTTTGCGAAGCTCTCGCCTCCTATGCTCGCCAAAAAAATATAAAAGTGCAAAATTCCTCCTGAAAGTTTTAATTTTGTGGGGTATGGCAAGCAGCATTTTTGTCTACGAGGATGACCTAAATTCTCTGCGAGTCACGAACGTGCACATTGTGAAACAGCCACATGAGACCAGAAAGTGCACGAATCTAGAAAGTGGAATTTTTCGAATATCCTCCGTTTGGATCGGCTCGAGCGAAAAATTGCGCTGCTCCCTTTGGCACGAGACCACATTTCCAACATGTTTGTTCACATGATCGACGTAAACACATTGAAGCGACAGTATAGACCACTTACAACATAACCGCCTATAGTGCAGGACCGCGTATAATGTGGCTTTTTTAAACCACCGGTTCGCCTCCCATAGAACTCCATGTAATTACATACCGCTTAAAATGCAGGCGCGCGAAGGGCAATACTGGTTATAGTGCGGTTTCTGGGACAGCCCGCCGACCGCGCCGACCAACCGACACAGCGAGCACACTTCCCTGTGCGACACTAGATAACGGCGCTAGCCGCAAGCGGCACTCGCGGGGCAAGGAAGTTGCTCGAAGAAGCGGGAAGAAGCAAAGAGAGAGGCTTCAGTTGCCATAGCGACGGAGGGAAGCACGCACGTGTCGTTCCCGTGCGTGCGTCCCTCCGCTGCGTTGGAAACCGCAACGACAGACCGATCGCAGGTCAAGGAGAAGTGTTTGCGCGCGTTGCATGCCGGTAGCGGGCCGGCTGCTTCCATCGGCAAACATGGCGTCGATTGGGATCGTCGACGTAGACGGCGTGGTGGAAGCTCATCGTTCCTCGTAAAAGCGCTATCCTTGACCGTGAATTTTCGTTGTGTGTCGCTATCATAACCCAGTACGTACTAGAAGGGAAGATGCACCTACTCGTGCGGCGATGGCGTGGCGGCACTCTCAAGACAGCAGAAACGCCTGTGTCGTCGTGCTTGTTTACTTCGATTACAGCAGTGCTTTCTAAGCATTTGTGTTTTCGAACATCGCCCGGATTTCTTATTTGGAGCATTTCATGCCTGTGCTCAAGTTGAAGGTATTACTGGCGCGTACCGTATAAAGGATGCGAATTTTCACACGTTTTTATCACCGGAGAAAAGTGATTAGGCTTAGCAATCCTGAACGCTCGCAACGTCCGTCCGCAACCTGCGATGCCGTTAAAAGGCTGCGCCAGGCGAAAGTCGCTCATTTCTTTCAAAATGTGTGGCACACTTGAGAGAGAAGTGTACTAGTCTGGTGAAATAAAGACTTTCCTCAAACTAAGCTTTATTTTTCATCTAACATAAAATAAATTATTTTACAAAGGTAAGTTGTCTCGTGGCATGCATTTTGGCCTGAAAAATTGATGTTTTGGTTATAACGCGGTACCGCTTATAATGCGGATTTTCGCGACTCCCGCGACATACGTTGTATGCAATCTACACTCTCTTTCTTTTTGTGTAGGTAGTAAATATTCGTGAGCTACTTTATTATGTGTGATGAAATGAGCATAGCTCTTCCTAAATCAATCTAGATTCACGTTTTTGGTGAAATTTGGTTTGACGGTTGCCAAAAACTCGCTTGCTGGCCGCGGGCCATGATCAAGTGAAAGGCAGCTCGTGTCACCTATCAAGTGGATGTGCAAGCTTCAGCCCAATAGAGTGGTGTGTGCAAAGAGATTTGCACTCATTTGCACACATATCACCAGATGATGAGTGTTACCGCCGAATTCAGAAACCTCACTCAAACTGAAGGGCCCCTCCACTTCCTCGAGGAAGGCGCGATGGCCGGCACTGGCCAATCGCGAGGACGGATCCGCCGTCGCGATTGGCCAGCGCCGGCCATCGCGCTTTCCTGGAGTAAGTGGAGGGGCCCTTCAGTTTGAGCGTAGTTTGAGTGAGGTTTCTGAATTCGGCGGTTAGTGACGCAAGTGCAATGCAAGAAGCCACTATCGTGCGAGCAACCCTAAGGGGTCGCAATTGCTTTAGACAATAATATTATTTTCTGCATATATCGATCAAATCATGGCAACATTCTTGAAATTCAGGGGAGACACTACCCAGAAAAAACAATTTTTGCAAAAAGTCTTGTGCATTCCTCCCTTTGTCCTTGTGTTTTTGCACGTGGCTACCAGGTGTAATCGTAAACCAACTAGCCTGCATTGCCACATTGATTAAAAAAAGATTGATTTTTAAAATGTCATATTTACACCCCCCAACATCTAGAGAGTATTACAAGAAGGTTTCATTAGTTTACACTGCATAATTAATTTTTTATAAATTATTTTGTGTCCACGAATGCTACAGAAAAGGTAGAGATTGAAGCACTTTGAACACATTTTTTTCCATTCCGCGTTTTGGCATACATTTCACTTCAGGAAAATCGTTTTGTTATTACATAACTTGGATTCCTTTTTATGAGTTTTTCTAGAGTCAAATTTTAAGGGGAAGAGATAGCTATGAGCTTGTATTTTTTATTTTTGTCCTTGTTCATGCTCGAGAACTAAAATTTCGGACAAAGGACAGAAATCTAAAAAACAGTATTTGTGTTTATGTGGCTTTTCAGTCATGAAAGATGGTACAATATAGATATATAGCTTAGCTATCTGCTTGGAACTGTCCTAAAGCATTATAACTGATGAAAACAACAAATTTATAAGTAATTTCAAAACGATAGTTTTTTCTATGCAGACACACCTACTTTTATCTTGCAACATTTACATTTCTTTTTTGTACTTCACCCAGGTTAACAAAATTTGGCAGAAATGTTCTCAACATCAACAGAAACAAGCCCTGTAAATGTCATTTAAACAGACAAGTGGTTCAAACATTCACTTTTTTTGGTAGTGTCCCTCCCACTTGAAGAACAGCACAATGGAATGCAACTTTGCTATATCTGCAATCTGTGGTAGTGGCTTCTATGTCACGTTCAATTTTGCATAATATTTAGCTGTCCCACCCTAACTGATTACTCGCCCCAAAGTTTTCACTGTTTCTCTCTTCGTCGCAAGTGGGTGTTGGCTTGGGAGTTTATGGTACTCATTCTCCTGGGCTCCACAGAATGTTCAATGGTATGCTGCACTGTGAATGATGCAGCTGCAAGCCCAGCAGAACAAAAATATTTTGGAGCTTACCTTGCGCTTTCTATATACATCAAAAACATCTGAAAAAAAAAAAAGTATAAAAATGATCTTGATAGTATATCCACAGAAGAGCTAGGCTCGTATTGAAAAAGTTATTAATCTCTCCTTTTAATTCAACTTTTGGCAATGGTCAATTTGCAACAATCAGCACGCAGCTGCAAACCCAAGATCCAGGCCAAAGAGCTTCAGATATTTCAGTTGCAAGGTTTTGTCACCACGGAGCTTTTACTAATATAGATTTGTTACTGCTCTAATGGCCTTGAAAGGTGCGCATAACTAGATGGTTTCTGAACAATCGCTGGGAAACAAAATGCAGGAAACCTTTCACTGAAGCAAGCAGTGTCTACGAACACCTAAAACTTTGGAAGGACCAACTACTTTGCCAGGAAAACAAATAACCTGTAAAAACAGAAAAAAAAAAAAAAAAAAGTTGCAGACCAAGAAAAAGAACAACTTACATTTGGAGGAGACAAACTTGGACTTTACACACTCGTGAAAGAAGGTTGAAATGTCTTGAACAATATTAGCCTCCTGTTCTTGAATGTGGTAGTAATAGTGAGTATAGTCCCTCTGTGAGATGCCTAAAAAAAAAAAAAAGAAAGCTACAATAATGACATGGGAGGAGCAGGAACAAACATGACATTATATTCGCTAGAAACTATTACAGTGGCTGCTATGGTCACCGACCAGATGAGAACAGGAAGGTGTCTTTCAAACGCCCAGACTCTAGCATGTGCCACACGCCTTCCACCATGCTTTGGCTGCACGTGCGCACTCGAGGTGCACAAGATTTTTAAACATTGTCCAAAACAGGAAGCTTGGGCTGGAGGCGGGATGACAAACTCCTCCCTGCCGTTCCACCATGTCACTGACATGGTGTAACGGCATACTGTTCTTTAGTTTTTTCCAAGGGCTAAACAATAGGCATAATTCTCTACACAGAAATTAATATGTCTGACAATATACATACGCATCTGTGATTTTCCAGATTTACATTACTTTTTTTTTAAATATCTCGTGGGAGTAAGAGACTATGATGAATTCTTCTGAATTGACTATTTGCAAAATTAGTTTGCCACGAAACATAAGGCCTTTAGGGTATTATATACATTAAAGTATATACACCTCAAGTGGTCGGACCACATTATTTTACCAGTGAAACTTTATTGCCTAGCGAAGAGCAAGCACAATAGGCCGATCTCACCAATCAGTTTCGTTGCTTCACTGCTGCCACAAAGTATCGAGGGGACTTTAGTCTCTCTCTGCACGTGGGACAACCTCGCTGGGGCTTTGCACGTGGAGACCGCACGAGCCGTTTCGTGCACTGCTGCCTGCCTCCTCTGAACTAAAGTTATGGCGGCGTCACAGATGTGTGGAACGCTTGGCAAGATTGGTCCATTGGCAACAGTTACGATTAGGAACTGCAACTTCTTGCACTTTAGATGTGGTGTTGAGAAGCTCGGGCGATATTGTTTCGATCTGTCGCAGACTGCTTTAACGTTTATGGAGGAAAGAAAAGTGTTTCCTGCTATTTCTGATAAATCGTTGGACAACTGGCAAAAATGATCTTAGCATCCAGAAGGCTAAAGAGTTGTCACTTTGAAACGTAGCCTAGTTAGTGGCTTTAATACAGACAATGAAAGCACACTTTTACATTTGAGGCGAACTGACGAAGGTTTTCTCCACAAGGTCAGAGAGAGGCCGCGTAGACAAGTCTGCGCTTTGCCCGACAAGGAAATGATTTCATCGAAGGAACAACTGCCATACCGATCAGGACGGAGTCTTTCACGAAGCAACGAAACTCCGTGCTAGGGTCAATCTCGACCCACTTCCTCAGGACGAGTTCATACTTGAAAAGGTGCCCCGTGTCCGTGTCCTTGCGCCAATCTGTACAAGCCTTGAACCTGCGAAGATGCGTTGACAGTGGCTTTACGGGTGAACCCATATGCTTTAGAGAATGCGAGGATATAGCTTGGAATGTGCACATTACATACACAATGAAGAGCGTGGCTGGGGCTATCCCTACTACGTTCCACCCTGAAAAATTAACCTGAACTCCCTGGTACTTACTAGCTTTCATTTAATAAACATTGTTGAACCAACAGCTTTTACTCGAGATTATTATCACAACATTTATGGCTGCACAGCCCCAGCAAGGCAAAAACTTTCTTGCCTTAATACAATAAAGTAACCGATTGATTTGACGGGAATCTTGCAGAAGACAAAGTAATCAGTTCGCTTTACCCTCCTGCAGAGCCCTCTGCTCCCTCCCCTTTACCAGAGTAAACACCAGAGAGGAGACGAAACGGGGAGGGGAGTATTCGAATAATCAGAAAGTCACTGTGCTGGGGCCGCCACATTTTGTAGAGGCCTTTGTTGGCGCACGCTGCGAAAAGGCAGTTGGTGCTACTTTGCACCGCTGGGACGCAACGGTCGGACGGCCAGAACTGCTTCGCTACTGGGCCTATCAACAGCCACAACAACCGTCGTGAAAGATACGATTTAACAGCCCTAATCCAGTTTCTCGATTGCATAGGATATAGTTCGAGGCTACAAGTCAAAATTCAAAGGGTGAAGACTCAATTTCAGGCAGTGGTCTACTTGGTGCAAAATGCAAGGACTAAAGCTACTACATGCCCCGCTTTAGTGTAACGACACTTCAGCCACCTTGGTTTTCAAAATCATTGTTGCCAGTTACCTGGAATTGCAAGAAACAGCTCTAGGCCCTCCAGAGGTTTTGAAACAATTCGCAACGGAGCAAAAAATGATCGTCTTTGCTTTTTGACACCGCATCTCAAGCTCAAGAAGTCAAAAGTTTTTAATAGTAAGGATCGCCGATTGTGCCTGCCCCGCACAAGGCACCCAGAATGGCAGTGCCCACAGGAAAATTGGGGCATAAAGTGCAAATACTCTAAACGTAGCCTATTCAGTGGCTCTAATGAAGACAATGAAAATCAAGGCAGAAAACTAGTCATACGCCATACGAAATTTGAGTCGTTGCAAATTAACTCTATCGAGCCCTGCAAAAACACCAGGATAATCAAGCATGCCCAAAATTTCACCCCCTGCAAAATCAGTCAACTGTATATCTCGGTGGAGGACCAAATCTGCTATGTCTGAATGATTCCGAGTCCCCGGGCCCAAAAGGAAGCTCTTCATAACCCAGGGCATGCATAAGCAAGTAAAAAAAAAAGTGCTGTACACAGAAGCAACACCACAGGAAAGTATGGCTGAAGTCGCATCTGTGTGCACAAGTGGTACGACAAACAATCCCAGAAATATCTTCACCTCATCTGCGTTAGTTAGCAATGACAATTTATTCTTTCGTTCAATGCTTAAAACAGCTGTTTTGAGAACTAAGAAGTGTCGAAATCAAAGAGCGTACGGCTGTGTGAGGTCGTGGGTAACAAAGTCCGAGCTCTTGAGGAGGAGGCAGACATCCGAGAAAGAGGTGCAGCAGAGACTGTTGTTGGTCGCAATCCAGCTAGCATCCTTGGGGCTGCTCCAGTTCAGCTTCGGAAACACCCGACCCCCCAGCCGCTCTATGGCCCGAGACACTTTCTCTTCCAGGTCGGGAAAGCTGGGAATCTGCAAGGAATGGCACATTACTTGCCAATATCCAGAACAGATGACAGTGAAATTGGCTGAGGTAACGGCAGTCACAACCAATGTTATCAGATCAAAAACACTGTCAATCTTTGGTCTGAAGAGGGCTTTTCCAAGTGCCACCTACAAGAAGGTAGATGTTCCACACTAGGAGACTTTGTACGTTCATTTCTGGCCGGCCGCCGCTACCTCGTCAAATTGGACTAGGGCCCTGCCATGCATAGCAGTACTACCAAGGAAAGCAATGTTGGAGTCCCTCAAGAACCAGTATTGTCGTCGACATTATTCAACACTGTCATGGCGCTGCTCCTCTGGGCCCTCCATCGTATTCCGAACCTACGAGCTAATGCCTACGCCAGCAACATTACCGCTTGGACATGCCGAGGCTCAGTTTTGACGCAAAAGAAAGCGCTGCATGCAGATCTGGATGCCATACACGCTAACCTTCGCCGCGTCAGCATGTTTCTGTTTACGGAGAAAACAAAGCACATGTTGTACAGCCGTGGACATTTTACCCTTGACTTGGGCCTCACTTTCGACGGTAGTTCCATGAGCAAGGAGCTTTTCATAAGGATCCTTAGAGCGAATTTTGGGTACAGCTCTCAAGTGGCAGCTGAATGGGTTGTCTATTTCAGGGCAATGGAACCACGGCCTACACCTCGTCCCTCGCATCTCCCATCTGAAGTGCAACACGGGAGAATGTATTGCCAAGATTCTCGTCACGTCCATCCTTGCTTCAAAGGTGGCCTATGGTGCGCGCTTCTACTTCCTCAAACGAGTCCATCTAGACATGATTGCAATGCTGTATAACGAGGCTCGCCGAACCATCCTTGGGCTCCCTTGACACACATGAAAGTTGGAGCTTCGCAAGAGCCTGCGCCTGTGGACCTTTGAGAGACACTAGACCAGCAACTCGACATGCATATGCCCCAACTTGAGCATAAGCTCCAGGGAAAGGCAGTTGCTCGCTTCACTGGACTAGCTGTGACCAACATCAATGACCAGCCGTCTACCAAGCCTTCATGGGATCTCATTGATAGCATGCAACATGTCTGGCCTGTTGTGTGAAATATGAATGCTAAGAGCCACACCAAGTGTCAAGAACATTAATCCTGCCCGCACCAACCCAGCTAACCGCATCATATCGCGACCCTGCGCAGGTCATTGTGTATACAAATGCTGCCCTGCACACATCCGGTTAATCTGCGATAGCTGCGGTGTTCCCGTCCCATAACCCTGCAGAGTGTGATCCCATCGTTGTTGCAACCCCCGAGACCCTTTCATCGCCCGAGCCTTGCGCCATCCAGACATATCAGGTCAGGAATCCAGAGCCCGGCATGCTTAATGTTCACGGACACTCAGGACACGATTCGTGCACTTAGGACGCATCTGCTCCTATCGAGTTTGACAATCACCGCTATTTTCGACACTGCACTTCGCCTGAACCGCCATCGAAGCGTCCGAGTCAGTATACATTGGGTCCCAGAAGATGCAGGCATTGCCGGCAACGAGAAGGTCAGTGAGGCTTCGTTGGAGGAGTTGTATAGGGATTTCCCCTCCTCCCAGCAGACCCTACCGTTGCCTCCCTCATCGCCCAACGATGACCAGTTTCCCGAAGACGAAGCCTACATGTACGACCCAGTAGACACTTTGTGCTTGGTCCGCCGGGACTGGAAGCGCCAACTCTTGGACCCCAGAATAGTTCCCAATACCCAAAAACATGTGAAGTCGGCACCGCATGGTCCTACTTCGACGCATTAGAAAAGGTGAAGCGGTCAGGCCTCATAACGTCCATCGCTTCAAGCTGACCTGGCAACGTAAACTTGACCCTTATTATGTCCCGCCCGACCGCCACTGCCAACGACGCAAAGACCCATATGCCTTCCCGAACCTTCACCATCTCATTTGGGAGTGTTCAGCTCTGGTTGCCCAGCGTCAAGCAGCCTGGGTGGATCCTGCCGGCGACTAGCGAGCGCCAAACGAGGCTCCTGGCTTCCCTCCTCAACTTCGTGTTGCGGAGCGAACTGGGGTTCTCGTTATAATACACATCATTTCACACTACCAAGGACGTAGACGCCACGCTTGAGAGCGAATGTGCCACATTGGGCCCTTGTGCCGAGGTCGCGCTGCTCATACAACAACTAAGGCTGCGGATGTGAGTCGCCGCGGCCTTCATAGTTCGGGTAGTGCGTGTAAAGTTCCTCACCTACCACCCTCTCCCTTCCTAGGCAATGCACCCCGTGGAGTTTCGGGAGGCAACGGGAAGCCAGTAAATGTTTTGTTGCAAGTCGAAAGCCTGTGTCGTCTGTTTGTCTTCCATGCCCTTCTCATTATCGTAATATATGGAAGAATCCTTGCTAAATCTCAAACTCAAATAAAAATACTAATTATACCGCAGTCTATAATATATCCTATAGTTGGTGACAGGTTAAGAATTCAGAGTGAGGGAAAGAGGCTGGGGAGGAGGAAGGAGGCGGAATGTTAGAGCGAGGGGGATGTTTCCTCCCCTCCTCTCGAGCATTCCATCGGCTTCCTCCGCCCCAGCCCTCCTTTCCCTTGCCCTCAACTCTTAAAGAGGCACTGACACATCAAAATCATTTTTTTTTTTTTTATTATCCGAAACGATTGAAAACGATGCCGGGACATTACCCTCAAAATTTGAAATTTGAGAATTCAGCATTTGTGAAGTAAAAAAACAATTTCCAAATGCCGAATTCGAAGTTCCCGCGCGATCGGCGCCGGTGCCTTGACGTCAAATATTGCAGAGTCCTGAGAGTCCACTTTCTTTCACCACTCCCTGCTGTTGCCATGGTGACCCAAAGCGAGGAGCAGTGATGTGATTGGCCTAAGCCATTTTGGAGCACCTTAAGGAGCAGCCAAAACAGTGTTTTGGAGCAGAAAATGTGGCCACTGGAGCAGTCAAGACGGTGTTTTGGAGCTGCAAAAGTGGCTTTTAGAGCAGCCAAAACAGTGTTTCGGAGCAGAAAAAAGTGGCTTTTGGAGCATATATATTCTTAGAAAAATAAATATTTGTTTTAAGTGCTGGACAAACGAAGAGCACTTTGCGTTGTGTTGTGACGTGTTGGGCGGAACTCGCTGCTTGTGCTTTTGCTGCTGAGACATCCCACAAGTATACAGTGATGTAGGCGCTGCCGAGCAATACCGAAAAAAAAAAAAAAACACTTGCTATCGTTTTACTGGTTTCCGACGTGGCAGATTTGTATAAAAAGTAAGCAAACGTAAAACAATGGATTGCAAGCGTCCTGGCTTGTGCCTCTCGTGCAATCATGTTCACATGCACGCGAGGGCAACTTCGGCAGGCTTGCAGTTACACGTGCTTCGTCACACGAGCGGACACAGCAGCTGTTCGACCGAAACCAAAACCATGCCACTCCGCTCCGTCGCCAACTGGTTCCCAAAATAGTATGCAAAATGTAACTGTCCAGCATACAACACAAAAGATTTCAGCGGTGCGCGCTTGCCAGGCCGGCAAACAAGGTACAGGCTAAACATACAGAAAAAAAGAACCTTAGCGTATCGATGCAAGACATTGCAAATCAGGGTCAAAAAGCTCTTGGAGCGCGTTGTGCAAAGACTGAACTCGAAAAAACAAGCGCGGTGTGCGGGTTCAGCGTGTGAACATTGCCTTCTTTGCTTTAGCTCACTTCTCTTTACCAACTTTCTTTCGCGGGAATTTTTTCCTGTATCAGGGTCCCTCTCGAAAGAAAGCCCACCGAGAGAAACCTAGGTAATCAAAACTTCGCCAAGCATTGATTGAGTTAGAGAGATTTTTATAGCAGCATATGATTTAAACAAGAGCAGGAATGTCGATGCGTTTCAGTTTAGAAAGCGCCATATCTGCAGCGACGTGGGGACGGCAACACACGACGTCGCGCGAGCGCTTCAGATCACAAAGTAACTCTCGCCGTGCAAAAACATGGGTTTTCTTTCACAGTATGACGGCATGTCTGGCACCCTGCACACTAACGTCGGAGCGTCCGCACAAAAGAAAAAAGAAAAAAAGACGCGAGACGAGATTACCGAGACGACGAGAGCGCGAAACGCGAGACGGCGGGAAAAATCATGCAAGACCGAATACACGATTCATGCAGGGTACTTTGTGTCGGGCGGCGTCTTGTGCCACCTAGCTAACGGTTCTCAGTTTAGGTTCGTTTTTAAAAGGCGATCAAAATTGGTCCTTTGGCGCAGGCTTGGCACAGATTAGCCATATTTTGGCGAAATGTAGCAGGATGTAGCAGGGTTAGCCCCTTGGCGCAGTTTGGCGCAATTGGCACAGCAATCACATCACTGGAGGAGGAAAGGAGCGAGCACCGGCATTGCGGCGGACCGGTTTTGAGCGGTGTCGCCTGTTTTCCGTTGGATGATACAAATCCAGGAGACGGCACCACAACGAACTCCCGATCTTTGGTATTTCAAAAAAAAGGGCCGTAGTGCGTTCGCAATTGCGTTAAAAAACATGTTTTAGGATTGCCGTTATTAAATGTTATAAAGATGTCGCCTACAAAGCTTCTAAATTTCATGATTCTTGACGTCACGAATCAAAAGAAGCGAGGAGGCGAAGGCGGGAGAACCAAACGCTAAAAATAAAAAGGCGCGCGCGCGCGCGCAAAAAAGTTTTTTTTCGCGATGCGTTTTTATTTGCGTGTCTATGACTGCAGCTTGCATCGTTTTAGACAATAAAAATAAATACGACCTTTGGGGTGTCAGTGCCCCTTTAACCTGTCCCCGACCAAAGGCAGTTATATTCATTATTTTCTGCTGCAAGGTAAAGTTGTTTCATCAGCACTAACAATATATATAGTATATATTTTTTTTAATTTACCCTGCGCTTTGTTTTGCAAGACACAAACAATTTCAATGACTACTCCGTGATTTTCGCTTGACTGCAGTGCACCAGTGCGGAGTGAGAACAGTCAACGAAGCTACCTAGCTCACCAGAACAGACCACGAACATGAGAAATATTGTGCGACTTCCGAGTAAGTATGAAACTAAAGTGATAATCGAAAGTTCTGAAAATTTGTACAAGCCTACCGTGACAATTCGGCCATATAGCGGGGCCTCGGCTTTTATATTTTTAGTATTAATAAAGTGAAATTACGTTTTGATTGTGTTAACAAAAATTAAATCACATTTCAGCAAAACGTAGCAGAATGTAGAAGGGTAAGCAAATTGATGCAGTAATCATATCACTGTGGTACTGTGGATGTGTGCTGCCTGTCCTAAAATAATGATAGAAAAAAAGAAAGGAGAGTAGAAGGAATGGAATATCAACAGTTTACAGCCAAGAACAATTCATATTGAATCGACTAGTGTTAAAGTTTTCCCTCCAGTCTATGCGACAAACCTGTAACACGCATCCCATCCCATCTTGTATTTCCCGCAAGTTCTCAATTGGCAATAAGGCCACTACTAAAGATGCATGTACATTTGACTTTACTTGTATGTGTGTTGCACGCACATAGATTACACTTTGTGTGTCTGCATATTCCTGGAATGCACATTCCAGCTTGTGTTATTTCCAAGTTCTCATTTGGAAATAACGCCACAACCACTTAGGATGCATGCACATTTCAGTTTACACCTCGAAAGGAATGTCAGCTGGGTTCGCTGAGGAAGACGACCACCGACAAACGAGGTGCGTCTCCCAGGGGCCTTGTGGCGACAAGAGTACAGCCAGTGCCCCGACCAGGTCAGCGGCCAGCACGGGTGCCAGACAGGGGGTCACTGGGCCTTCTCCCTTACCGCCTGGACCCCCTGGCAGGGTGGCGGTCTGGGTTCCCTTGCACCTCTTGGCAGGAGATGAGACTCATTCCGGTAGGTTAGGTTAGTGATGGGAAGGCACCCCTCTTTTGCTGTACCTTCTGCTTGCTATCGAAGCTGCCATATTACGGCGACTTCAACTGCAGCGAAGGAAGCGCTACCTACAGTTGCCGTAGGTAGCAACTTCGCGCTCCCAACACTTTATTATTAAACCCCTAGAGTGCCACACCCAAGTAAACTTGGGTGCGCTCCTGTGTGGTTTCAGTTTACTTCCCTGCCTCTCCAAAATAGACCATCACATATATATTTTTTTTATTTGTAGTGCTATGTGTGAGTTAGCAATGAAAACAATGCTGTAATGTCGCTTTTCGATTGCATGTAAAAATATTTTTTTAGGCAATTTCTTTTTCGGCAAGCTCCTTCGTTGTTACAGCGAACCTATGTTGTTTAACCTCGCGCTTTGTGGTGAACACCGAAATCTAGGAATTACTTGTGGACTCTGTACAAAACAAGGCAGTGACAGTTCCAAATAAAAAAAAAAAGGGCCGAGCAAGGCAGCTCAAAAGAGTGACCTCGGGGTTCTAGGTCAAGGCGCCTCTGCATACCGTAATATCCGGAGATGCCCCGCCCCCAAAAGATAACCCACGTCTATCTTTATACTTCGCTTCAGCTTCCGTCCGAGCGCAGCCAAAGGCTGAGGGACGGTTCGCAACTTCGAGAAGAAAATTCCTACGCACCTCAAAGTAGTCCGCAAAAGGTTTTTTTTTAATAACTGTTTTAGCATAGCACAATATTCCAGATATGTTCTGCTGAGAATTATTTGCAACAAAAAGAATTAAATATCTGAAGTTAATGGTTTTATTAATATATGTAAATGCATGTGGTTTGGTGAAAGCATGTATATCCGCCGGCAACACGGCTGGAGCGCTCAGTTTTTCTGTGTGATTTCGTTCCCGTAATTACCGTAAAGACCGAAATAATGTGCTTCGCAGCTTTCCTCACAGAGTCGCTTCAAAACATCCCTTCGCAAAGGCACGTTGGGGCGTCAGGCGTGAGAGAGCGTGATGAATGTCTACTTTCAAATTCGGCAGGAGACTCCGGCCGCGTCGTACCGCGAATGCGTTGTAAAAAAAGAAAGGCGTCCGGGCCACTACAATTCACTGATACGCGGCGAACTCAGAGCACCTCTTTACCTGCTGATCACATTGAACGCCGAGAAGCTGATGAAAAGGACTGCGCCTCGAGCCCTGGTATACCCAGACAATGCAAGGAAACACCAACGGCCGGGTCATCGGGCACCTTGTAGCCTGTACTTTACATCTCGAAATTATGCCGAACAGGTGGAAAGCTTGGACACAGACGGCAGCGGCCAGCCTACGCACTGACATCCCCTGTGACGAAATTTCAGAACGTAAAATGGCACTTTTTAAACCTGTAGCATTCGATACCGCTGATACACCGGTAGCAGACGAAATACTCGGCGAGCGCAGGCGGCGCGGACGACCAGCGCGACCAGCGGAGTGATACAAAGGTGTACACGAGATCACCTGATCTATTGCCAGCGTCTGATTGGCTCCGGCCACACGTAGCTTTAGCGGACGGAAGCTGAAACGAAGTATAGCATGATTTGCTATTGCTTTAAAAAACACTGAACTATAGTCTAATTGCACAGCCCCGGCCAATAATGACATCGGCAGAAATGATATTACTTAACCACGGCGGGAGGTAAGCAAACATTGCCGACTGGGAAGGACAGTCTTTGGTTCATCACCCTTCACTGCAATCACTAACCTCTCACTGCAACCACAAGTTTTGTAAATCACAAAAATCTAAAACTAGCATTTTTATTTTTTTTTTATTGCACATAACAGGTTAGTTTATTTCCTATTTTACCCCGATTAGGTTTCGATTTCAGGTGGTCCATCTCTCGGGATACTGTAAAACCCTTAATGTTTGCAAGTCCTTAATTTTCGCGAATTGAAAAATTTGAGAAATTTAAGGGCATGCGAAAATTTCTATCCTTAAGAGTTTCAATGCTGAAGTCTGGAATTTGCGAAATTAAGTGGCCGCAATTATGCCCTCTTTGACCAATTCGCGAAAAATAGGGGTCTCAAAAATAAAGTGTTTTACAGTATTACATTCATACTGTGTCTAAAAAACTACAATAATAGAAAAATGTCCTCCGTTGGGGGCATGCAGACATCATTCAACTTTTTGCCCACAGAACAATGTGTCAAATATTATTCACAAAGCGTGCTACAGTGTTACAGAGATCAAAATATTTGTTCCGCATGCAGCAAAAAATAACCCGGCACTCAAAGGGTTGATTAGGTAAGCTCATTCTTTTCACACTGTGATAAACAAAATGCACCATCTTTGACTGCCTCTGTATAAAAGCATAGTGCAATGCATTAAGGAAGCGATTTACACACTCCCATCAAAGGGCCAGCAATTCCTAGGACTTACCCTGTAGATAGAGTGACACCCCAGACCATGCTCTTGCAGCACATTGCAATATTAGCCGTAAGAGACAGTGGCCGTAACGCAAGTCTCGAAGCCCAACAATGGTGCATGTTTGATCGAAACTCGTGCGCCGAGATCTTCTTGCCGTGCGAAAGGCGCATGCTTATTACAAAGAACTTGCACCAACCCGAACCAATAACCAAACGGAACTATAAAAACTCCCAATGACTTAGCCCACCTAGCTTTTGCATCACTACCAGGACAAGCTGTGAGATGCAATGCCTTTGGTGAGCAGCTGAATAAAACAAGTGTTTTCTGTTTTCAATTATAGGACATATGCAAAGGTAAAAAACACATTTTTCTTTTTAAAACAGTTGGGATGGGAAAAGGAAGTCATAAAACAAATTTACAACGAACAAGAAAAATTTTTAGAACTATATTTATGGCGCGAAACGAATTTGTATTCAGCACTCGCGGCGGAAATGTGGCCGCTATTTATCACGTGACTGGCCACCATTTATCACATGGTGCTTGCGCTCTATTGGATGCTTCCTATGGTCTCTCAAAGTTGCTTATTCATCTTGCTTCCTATGGTCTCTAAAAGTTGCTTATTCATCTTCGTTTTAAGTGCAACAAACAACGAAGATTAATAGGTAACTTTTTGAGCCCAAAGGAAGCTCCTGAAAAAGCACAGACGTGACAGACCTGTGCACCGGTCAGAAATTGACGGCAGCAGCATGAAGAAATGCGTTGAACCGGCGGCGCACCACGCTCAGCATGCGGCGGTGGCGCGACATTTGCAGCGGCGGCAGTGCACAAGTCTACCATGTGACCAACAGCGGCTCCCGCAGGCGCCAACTACAAATTCGTCTTGCGCCGTAAATATAACTCATTTTTTTTCTTCATTGTAGATTCGTTTTATGACATCCTTTTTCCATCTAAGCTGTTCAAAAAAAAAAAAAAAATTTTTTTCCTATACATGTGTTTTTTTAAGATTTGTATAACCTTAGGATAAAGCAAAAAAGTATCAGTCACCTCACTGGATTCACAGTCTGCTTCAGACCAGTCAACCTGAAACAATATAGGGTAAATCAATAATGAGGATAAACCATTAGCATAATCATCAACACTGACATCTTTCAATGCATGCATTGCACAAGTTAAGAAGATGCTTCCAGGCTCAATAGTTCAGCTACCACTTCATCCAAGTACATGCAGCTACTATGGCCTACATGGTGCTAAATATTTCCTTGAATTCCTATAGACCAGTGGTCGGCAATCAGCGACCCGCGGGCCGGATCCAGCCCGCGAGGTAGTATCATACGGCCCTCAGCCTCCCGGTAAACCCCCCCCCCCCCCCCCCTCCCCCCTACGCAGTCAGCTAAAGAAAAAAAAAATAAAGCTGACTACTGCCCGTCTGCGAGCAGACTTTTTCACGAATGAAGTGCATAAAATCCAACTTCCGCTCACGAATGACTGACGAGAACCCCCACAATGTTTTGCAACCCGCAGTTAGCAGCTTGAATGTGGATGTTCGTAGTTTGGCGAGCGCAGTTCAACACCAAAAGTCTCACTGAGAGGAGTCTCTACGTTTTCGGGTAAATGTTGTATCTCATGTTGTTCGTGAAATAAAGAAACTGTTCATTTTCAATTTATGTACGTCAATGTAAGTTCGTGCAAGGCCCGCTCCGCCTAGGCTTCGCCGCGACTCAGCCCGCTTCGCCAAAAGGTTGCCGACCACTGCTATAGACAATTGCAAGCAAGGCAACCGGCTGCCGCCAAGTCTCTGCTCGTGCGGACAAGACCGTTGCAATTGCAAGCTTGCCGAAGCTATATTCACATGCAAGCTGCACGTGCTTGCATGCATAGGACACCAGTCAGGGCGCCATGCTTGCAATTGTCTACAAAGGCACCACAATAAGCCAAGTCGGCTGTATCCATTCATTTGCCCACGTCATTCAGACAAGTAAATGTCATCATGCAATGCGAGCCTAAAAGGGGCAGTACAATGATTTTAACGCTGCAAGCAGTTGCGTCATACTACTTTCATTTCATTCATTCTAGCACACATTAAAGACAACACATCAATTTCCCCCGAGATATTGCAATTCCACCATGTAGTGGCAAAGCAAAATGTTGACTATTTCCCGACCTGCATCCACATGTCGGAGCTATGAAAACCACAGGGTGACGTCAATGAGGACCACTGTAGTGAATTAGCCAGTTGTGGAATTGTCTGCTCAGTTTGAAGCTAAGTTCTAAATTTTGCGTTGTCTAAGCATTAATGTGTCAAAAGCCTCTTATCACCGTCAAGAATCACTTGCCAAAGTGTATGTTGTGCCATCTACCCAAAGTCAACAAAGTCATCCCCTCTCCACTGCTTCGGTGACAAAAAAAAAGTCTTGACACCTATTTTTTTTTTTTTTTTTTACGCTCATCCGAGACTAGCTACAAGATGCGAACATCAGCGATGCCGACAAGTTGCGGTGTCCTGACATGATAGAAACAAAGCCTAAAAAGTGTTTAGATTCTAAGCAAAAACCTTCGGGTCACTGGAGAGCGTAGAGAGTTGGCGAGCATGTTCGAGAACATGCTCAAGAACGCAACCGGAAGCTCACTGTCCCCCATAATCTCACCTCACTGCACGTGCGACTCAGAAGACTGTGCAACATGGAGGAGAGGAGGAAACTTGGCATGTATGGCAAAACTTGGTGTATACACCAAGTAACCTGTGAACATTTCATATCAAGAGTAATGTACCTGTTTAATTTTTCGTGTCCTAACTCCTGTAAAGTCGCACAACGCAGAGCCGTGACATGCAAAGCACCATCTCGCACGAACCATCATTCAGGCAAGGGGACGAACACCCGGGTATTTACCTCATCATCAGAATCATTTGCGCAACTTTGTGATGCAGGTACCCTGTGATTAGAAAGAAAACAACAATAAAAAATCAACTTTTTTTTTTAGTAATGTACGAATCACCAAAGCTGCGATAAACAAAACTGAAAAACTGAACGTCATTTAAAGTGGTAATGAAAAATGTGCTAACTCACTTCCCGGGAAGAACAATGCCGTCCGAGAGCAGGTAGTCGACGAATTCTTTTGTAACTGGGATGCAAATGCTGATAGAGAAAATCGGAAAAGAGGGTGAACGCAACATAATTTTTCAGCCAAATTGACATGCATTAGCGGCAAAAACGCTTTACTTCCTTTAGACTAGACTAGATTTCGAATCGAACTGCATACACACACGCGATTACCAGAGTGATAAGGGAGATTGATTACCTAGGTATGGTTGCGTTTTTGAAGTTCGCGTACCACGATGAGAAACTGCAACTTACGACGTCTTGAACCAGCATGATTGAAAGTAGAGTTCACCGTCCCCCAAAACTATGCCTAGAACGGACTGATCAAGAACGATACATGACAGCGATAATTGGCGATAGTTCAGTCAGCTCAGCACCTCTCAAACACGCGACACATGAAGTAAAATAAGCTCACAAAGCACTACGATGCTACGATGCCAAAGCTGGCGAGGCCAGCGAAGCTACAAGCTACAAGCACAGACTTGCAAAAACGAAACAGCCGAAACAGGAATGAATGATTGCGCCATCTAACCTCCCATTTCAGCATTTTTGCCTCTAAGTTTATCTAAATACTAACATTATTACATTCATTATTTTAATATTTTTCGGGACAGTATTTTTAATAATTTTAACCATAACGTCCACATTTTTTTTATATTCTACAATATTATCATTACCACCCATGATCGTGGTTTAAATACACAATCAACTTCAACTATTTTTATGCATTGAGTTAAATGGTTTGGCTACTTCTAGTAAAACCAGTAAAACAGTAACCAACAAAAGATTTCATTTCGCGTGATTTTGTGCGATTTCGTGTTCAAGAAAGTGACAAATGAACAAGTAGCACTGGCATGAACATCATTCAATGTTTTGAAACGAGAGGATCGAGCACCGAGCGATCGTCCCCGTCTGTCCCTAAAAAGGATGGATTCAATTGACGATGAAATAATTTTGCCTGTAAGTTATTCTGATATTTATGTCACAGCTAATTTCAACTCCTCTAAACTCGAAAAGTGTCCTTGTATCACTGCAATCAATTCAATTGACGTGCTCGATTGCAACGCAATCGAGTTTCACGCAACGTTCCATCGCAAGTAGCTCGTAGGTGTCAAAATCCCATGCATAGTTCACTGCTGGCACCTCCGGAATGAAATCGAATAAAAACCAAGCACTGTCTTGGATGTTACACAAGTGCAATCCCGTTCATTGAATGTCTGGTTCCGTCTCTCAACAGAATTCGCCTCTTTATGCCTACTTGACTGACGCTGGTTTCAGTTTTTCCGACCTGGACGTGGAATCGTTGGACCGGAAGGACAAGCCACAAGGGACGCCAAAGAACTCGCAGACATCACCCCACATTACAATCATCGCATTATTTGTACGTAGTAAACTTCGCACCAAAACTGGTATAGTGCTTTATGAGTGGGGTTCGGTGTTTTCGGTAAATAGCGCTAAATTCCGAAAAACAAACCCCCGATCCGAATCGATCACAATCGGGGAAAGCCGTAAAACCCCGCATTAGAGCTTTCCTTCTCAGAGAAAAACGCCAGTCTCTCGGGGGGAAAAAGTTTTCAACTACAATTTTATTTTGTGTTTACCTCGAACACAGCCACACTGAACTGTCTGTGAGGCTACTTCTTTCTTTGGAAACCAGACCCCTTATGTCGTTTCCTCCTATTTATTATTGGGATCAGGTCGTTATCGAAGCATTCTGGCCGTGAGCATGTTCTCTGCCGGTTGGGGAATTCCATGCTCTTGTTCCGTTTCTTCAACATAAAGCCCGATAAACACGGATTTCTTGTCCAACACCAAAAAACACCGCATTTGTTACAAAAAGAAAAGAACCCTGAATACACAAAGCCCTATCTACAAAATATATGAAAGGTGCACGGACGCTTGCTTAGAACGGGAGAGGCAGCAGGGGAAAGACCTTGCGCAGTCCATACGATCCCTAAGGGTCATTTGTGATAATGGGCAGTTTTCACTGGTTGCCACGATTTGAACCTGCCGGTGATTAGTGCAGCCCGAGAGAAATCTTTCACTTATCGTCCGCCAAAAATGACCTTCCTGGTAGTGTCGAATGCACGTTGCGGGACCTAGGATACATCTTTTGCACATGACAGCTAGTGTTTCAATCACCATACTGTCGCTTAATCTGTTCCTCTTCAGCCATCTCAAGAACAACAAGTTAGTGGTGTCAAATTACTGTAACCATCAGGACAAGAAGTGCAGAGCAAATGCCCAGCCCCCGGCGCATGTCTGTTGCCCTCTGCCGAGTTTTGACTGCATGTGCACTCTCCAAGTTCTGGAGATGCCAAAATGTTGTTGAGGCTGTACTTCGTTTCGGCTTGCATCCGGCTGCGGCCAATGCCGCATGTAGCCGGGTCCGTCCAAACACCGGCGTTGGGTCCATAACCCTGCTTCCAGTTTGTGTGTCACTCTGTATGGTGCAAGCACCGAAAAGCCGAAGGAGATGATTTCGTCTGCTAAGAATTGATGATGGAATTCACATGAACACAGAAGTCTTTATATGACATGCATCCGCCATAGTTACCAGTGCTAAGTAAATTCTGACACGTCGCATCTTCTTTACCTCACTCCCAGGAGATGTGTCGGCGGTTGGCATCGCTTTCCTCATGCTCTGTTCTGTGAAGGAACTGGCATCTAAAAGCCTGGAAAAAAATAAGTGGTGTATTTTTATATTGAGCCCCCTTGAAAGTGACAAATGAAATGGTTATAAAATTAAATCTAGAAGTTTTTAGCATTTTAAAGGGGCACTAAACCACTTTTTGCATAGTCTATTTATGGTCGTATCTCAATCTATGGGCTCCAGGCAAAAAACAATGCTGAATTGCATCCTTCAGACTGTCTGACCTATTTAACATTAACTCAAAGTAGCCTTTTAGACACACAAAGCTTTTGACCTGACTGTTCTGTGTTCTGGCATGCAGGTAAATCTGAAGCATTACATTTGGCATGCATTAAGCACATCCAGGGACGTGTTACTGAGTCAACTGCAGACTGTAGTAAGTACTCCTCAACTGCCTTTTTGTGATTTCTATTTTTTCCTAGTCTTAGAAATTTTCCAACCACTTAAATACTTGTTTTCCTTCCTTTTTCAGGATACTCAAGCACTCCTTAAAGCCATCATACATAGTTCATGCCTTGAAGACGAGGATCGTCGCTTTTTAAGTGACTTTTTGGAAGGACAGCCTGCTCTTGCCAAGACAAAAGAGTACAAAGGGAAATATGTGTGAGTTACAAGTTTATTCTCTGTAAAACACTTTCCAACCTGCCCTTACAGCTTTATGCTTTAGCTGCAAAATTTGTGACTGTGAAACTTTGGTGTGATCACGAACACAGATACCCTAGGCATGAAAAAAACTCAACAGAATTTAAAAAACAAAGCTTTTTTTTTTTATTAGGTTTAAAGGGGCACTCAAGTGCTTTTTGTAATATCTTGCTTCTGATGGCATATTGTTTGTGGGACTTTAGTCAATAAAATGACCAGTTCTGGATGGCAAGACGTTCTAGAAAACTCGGCAATCGAAATACATGGGCACTATATTCTCCTGGAAAAGGGGCGGGAGGGGGGGGGGGGGGGGGGGGGGGGCAGGGCAGGGGGCAGGGCGGGGGGGCGGCGGCGGCGGTGGCAGCGGGGGTTGTTATCGTGGAGACCCCACTACCTCCATCAAATTTTACAAATAAAAATAGTAAATTGCGTGTAGATTCTGAATGTTACTATTATTGCTTGTTTTAGGCGCATTGCGCATTATATTTTTACAAAATCCGGTGTAGATGATGTAATCCTCAAATTGTGTTTGAAAATGCTGTCCAGCAGTGCCCCCTGGTGTTTACTCCAAGGCGCAAAAAGAGGAGCATGTTACGATATTTGATTCAATTTTTAAAAGGGAAATCAGCCGCCCATGAGTGTAATTTCGGGGTTTTTTTGGGGGGATGCTTGGAGCCCATAGCTTGTGTTATAACTATAAATAGATGGTCTCAGTCAGGCACATAGCCAGGATTTTGTTTCGGGGGAGGGGCGCCCATGACAAAATGCTGTATGAGGAGGTGGGGGGAGAGGAGGTCCCAGCAAAATGAAAGATTTCGGGGGGGGGGGGGGGGGGGCGGGCCCCATGGCCCACCCCCCTGGCTACGTGCCTGGTCTCAGTGTCCACTGGAGTGCCCTTTTAACACAGACAGATACTTTAAGGATTCTCATCTATATTTTCTACAGTATACTATTTTTTTGCAGCTTGAGCCAATGATTGTCATCATTGTTTTTAAGTGACGTTTGTTTATTTTGCGATTTGGGCACACTGTTTTAACACCTCCAACTGTTCACATCCTAGGGCAAAGAGTTTCTGCATAATATCATTGGAGCAGTGTGCTAAGGAGCGCATACATCCTTGATCACATTATGTTGAAGAAATGAATATACTCAGTGGTGTTGACTTTCCAATTTTTTTCCAAAATTTGAATTTTTTTCTTAGAAGAAAACAATGTTCTTTTTTTTTTTTTTTTACAGACAATTAGAGGTTTTGGGATATTTTACTTTTTTAATGTAAAATAAATGGCTGCTCTTCTTTTCATATTGTTGTGCTTTGACACGAGGTTGCAGCAACACTAAATTAGCAAAGCACAAAATATGCTCAGCCATTCAATCCTATCCCATGAGCAAATATTGCTCAACACCTGACAGTCAAACTCTGAAGCTACGAATGCAGTTTGGTAAAAATGTTGCCGGAGACACTGTATCTTATTTAGTCCAAATATTTTGCCTGAAGATTAGCAGTAGCCAATAGGACGTTAGGAACCATCACATTTTTTAAAACTTTTAATTGTTATTCCATGTGAGTTTATTAAAGGGACACTAACAGAATATTTATGCTCGCCGAGGTTTTTAGTTGTACGTGACATATGAGAGCTCAACTACCCAGAACAGAATTTGCGGCTCCAAATTCGGTTTCTTTCCGCCCGAAAACCGCCGATCAAGAACTGGCCGGTTCGAGTCTCGCTCACTCTCTTTTTTGCGGTCACAGGCCGTTTTCTAAGGTATCGATGCGACCACCAAATTTAATCAAAGTCGTGGGTCACTGAAGGTACACACTCGATATTAAAAATAGAAAAAAATATGAAACCCATTTTTTGTGGCTTCTAAAAAGCTGTAAATACGTTGATTGAAAAAAAAAGTTCCACAGACAACCGGAAGCATTCTGTGCGTTCGTCGTTTCGCGTATCGTGGGACTCGCGGGGACGGCGATGGCAGCGGACGGCGGGCGTGGGACTTCTATTTCAGAACTGTCGTTCGCGGTACCGGTGAATTCTGCCTACCGTTAAAAGAGAAATTTGGGACTGATCAAAAGAATTGGTATTCATCCCGTACGACACGCCCGGCCACCAAGCCGATTTGCACGAAGACGTCGCCGAGCCGTCGCTCCCTCCTCGTGGCTGAAGACATCGCTCGCGCAAACGTCAAGCACGACGTGTCTACTTCGAGTTGAATATGCACGCGTACGATTTCTTTACTAGGTGCGAATGTCCCTAAAGCATGGTGCTTCCCGACTTCGACCCGGGAGTGCTTTTGCTAGAGAAAAATCGACAGCAAACTTTCCAACTTAGTTTGCCGGCTGAATTATTACTAAGGAAAGAGATCCACCAGAAAAGAGATGCCCCAGTAGCTCAGTGGGAAAGACGTCCGGTTCATACACGGTAAGACCGGGTTCGATCCCCCGTGAAACTTTATTATTTTTTTTTCAAACATTTTTTGATGTTTACATATCTTTTTCTTTTTTTTACAATCATCACTGAAGAAACAAACAAAAAAAAATAACAAGCAAATGTTGTGGATGATACTTCGGTGAATTAAATGGTATGGGATTTCCGTTTTGACACCTGCGAACTCAATGGGCGCGTTCAGGAGCGCCTCCCTTGCCTCCGAACGAAGTGCCTCGAGTTGGAGTCATCGGAGCGCCTACTGAACGGCAAAAAAACCCGCGGCTCCAAACCTGCTTCTACGCAACTTCCGCTTCCTCCCCTGTGCCAGACAGTCTCCGAATAAACTGGAAGCAGACGATGGCGAGCACGATCGCTTTTATTTGACGCCGGTATTGAAGAAGTCTTTACAAGGTCGTTGAAGAAGAAGCGGGTGATTGTACACATCAGCGCTGCTGTTCGAAGCGATGCAACGCGATCGAGTCCTTCGCTTGGCGGTGCAAAGGCAGCTGCTGTTATAAAAGCCGATAAAAAACGTCGTCAGCACACGTAAAATACAGGGCTCAGCGAATCTACCCCGCCGGTTGCGATACTTTCATACGGCCATAAGTTTCTTCTGCCCTTCGTAACGAACTTCCTATAAAATGTATTCGTATACACACGGGAAGTTCGGCCGCACTCGGCGATCAGGGTTTTGTCGGCCGAAGCGAGCCTCAGCCAACGTGCACCCCGATTTAGCTACGCAAACAAAACATTAATCGGTATCATGCTCTGCGTGACTGTCCAACCGGCTTCCAAAGTCGCGTTCATACCCTGCCTTGCTCTGTTCAGCGCGGACAGGACTATCGTCGATATTCACCGAGTTCCCGTGCAACGATGATCAAGACACGTCGTCAAATGAACGTTTGCGTTGTTTATTAGCATATTCAAACCAAACAAAATACGGTCCAATGCATTTTCCAAAAGAGCCTTACCTGAAAAAGATATTCGAACGCGTTATTCGTCTTACCTTGAGCACTTTTCATTAACAAAAGCCAGCAAACCGCGCACCCGCGATTGAACCGAAGCAGCTTATCCCGCCATATTGTTTGTTTTTTCCTCTTTTAGCACCGGAAATCGTCACCAGTCAGGAAATTACGTCATTTAGCTCCTTTGACTCTACGTGCACCGTCTCCGGACTCGGTGCTTCGGAGCTTGACTCCGATGCCCCGGAGTTACGTGCACCGGAAGTGACTTTTGGCCGTCCAGTGGAAGGAGTCAGTGACTCCTTGACTCCGGGGCCGTTACTGAACGCGCCCAATGTAATCACTTTCCACAAAATGCAAGGAGCATATAAATCAGGTGGCATCCGCTTTCCGAGGTGCCCGTATATGTTCTACAGGAATTGCAGCCAGCCATTGGTCCCGATCCTGTTGATCTTTCGGAAACTCTGTCGCACAATGCCACTTTTTTTTCGGATGCAGGACATGTGAGCCAGCTCTTCACGCAACATCTTGGGCGTATTCTTTTTGGAGCCGATCATGGAAATTCACCACGGGCACTCAGTACTCATCTCCAACTCCTCAATGTACAAAACAACTCATCTTGGAGTACAGAACAACGAGCGGAACAAACATAACTGCAAAAGAATCGCACGGCGAGCAGTTCCCGCACGCCGCATCGCACGCCGCATGTCGTGTCGTCTGCTACCGGAGAGGAGAAAAAAAAAACAAAAAACGCACGGTCGGGTTTAGCCACGTGACTTCCGCCACTCACTCTCTTCTCTCCACTTCTCCGACCTCCGTCGGGTTTCGGTTTCGAGAAGTTGCGTCTTTTGGCTTTATTAAAAAAATACACTACTCTGTTGCAAAATATTAATTGGGTAGTCCTCCGACACCATAACAAAGCGCCTGGCAAAAAATAAAAAAAAATTTTTTGGGGGGTGTCAGTGTCCCTTTAAAGGCAGCACAGCAACACAAGCAGCTTGAACATGGGACTCATTCCTTTTTGTAATTCTTTCTAAATTCGTGCTGCGCTTTGTTTTCAGGGCCTATCTCGTCCTCACTGCCCTTAGCGCGTGCGCCATTTCAAGATGGCTCGAACCTTCACCTCTGAGTGGCATTGAAGCTGCAGTAGTGCTAGCACTGTGCTTTGCAGCGCTGGTAGTTGTCGTCAAGCGCTGTCTGGTGTGGCACCAAGAGCAAAGCCTGTGCAGTCTTTTGGACACCATGAGAGACTTCCAATCCAAAGTCAAGAAGTGCCTTCAGCTCATCCAGGAAACTGAGGTGGTGGCACGTGGTTTTACGCTGTGAGTGTTTGCTCTGTGTATCCCCCCCTCAACATCCTCTGGAAGATGTCCAGATTACTTATGGTTAGACAGGGTTAGACACACTTGGCACCAGTGCTAGTCTGCCCAGTATGTTTTTCTATGAGGCTTAGCTTCTTGGGTCTCTGAGAAAGCAAAGCTCCTCAGAAAAACATTTGCTGCTGTTCCGAGGCTCAAGTTTCTCCTTTAAGCTTTGACTGTCCTTGTATTTTGTTTGGACTAGTCTACCCTAGTATTGGTGAGGAGAAGAAACTATAGGAGGTGCTCTCTCCAGTTCCCCAATGCTTAGTGTTGACTCAACACAACAAGGCCTGTGGACTTGATTCTTTACATCATCTTCCTCAATAGAGCATGGGGCACGATGTAGCATTAAGGGGGTACACCCCCTGGGAGGGTCAACTTTTGAACCCTTGGCTTAAAATTAATGAAATTTACAGGGTAGGCTGGTGGTCATGCTAAAATTGCATAACAAAATTTCAGGTCTGTCAGTAAAGTGGGAAGGAAATTCGGGCAGCTTTTATCAACAACACCCCTACATTGTTTAGTTAATTTATCGTCGGAAAGCTATAACAATATTCAAGATTTTTATTTGCTATATATGTAGCAGAATGCCTAGGATGTGCACCTATGGAAAGTTTTTTTTGTAAAAAGTCATTGATTTCTATCAATTTTCTCTTCTGCAAAATTGGCCAACTTTTTGGTCTTCTGTGTCTCCGACAAAATGTCAACATTTATTATAAAAGACATTTGTAAAATGACAAACAAACTCCATAGGCGCATTCCTTATTAAATTTCAGTCGGGGAAACTGAAGAACGAGCCCTCCCTGTATTGCCATTATCAAACGATAGATTGACTAAAATGGAATTTATACCAAAAAGTGGAATGGAGAAAAATGTGTTCAAAGTCCTCCAAACCCTACCTTTTCTTTAGCTTCGGTGGACAGAAAATAATTTAATAAAAATTAACTATGCAGTGTAAACTAGTAAAAATTTCTGGGAATACTTCCTGAATGTAGATGGATGTAAATATGTAAATTTTCAAAATCAATGTTTTTTGCAGAATTTATTTTTCTCTGGGTAGTGTCCCCCCTTAAGAATCGTTGAAATAACGAAGTATTGTTGGCGGGACATGACATGCCAGATCTCTCCCCAAAGCAGTCGTCAGGAGATGCGAGCTTTACCTACTACTACCTTCGTGCCTAGCGGGTGCTGGACCGATGCACGGTGCATGCTGCATTGTTCACACAGGTTGGAATAGCTACAAAAGAGCCCCTCCCTGGGTGACGGGAAAACTCGATCCCCAGCCGAACGCTGACAGAGCATTCGGCTGCGTCAGCCGAGCGCTGTGTCGCTTTTGTTATTGTCCCCATGGGTGTAGTTCTAAAGTTAGCCGCTCGGGACGCAGCGGTCAGATCTCCTCCTCAATTGGCATTGACTATCTTCATGTTTGGTTCGGGTTAGCTTAGTATAAGCTTTTATCCTGTTCTCTGGGCCAAGAAATTACTATTAGTCATGTCTTGATATGTGTACTAAGGGAGGCTGACACGACGTCGTGCCACATGATGTGACATTACCTGATAGGGGATTAATCCAGTTGTGCTAATAAAGAAAACGTCACAAAGACCCATAGTATCTCACATATTACAGTTCTACATATGACGGATTAATCAATAAATTGAAATACAGCTTCTCATCTCTTTTTTTTTTTGTTGAGCAGCATTCTCTTTTTTTAGGGCATCTCACAATGTACCTGTCCAGCGGCTCGAAATGAACAAGTTCCTGCCAAGCTTGGACCCGCAAAGGCAGTGTCCTGAGCTCCGCAGGTCTGTCTTTGTGTGGACAAGGGAACTGTTCCTCTTCTGGAGAAGCGTTACCTGCCAAGTGATCCAGTCATATCCTTTTTTGGCTCCCAAAATGTGGAAATGTGGAAAGGAAGCACAGCAGTTCGGTCAAGATTTATCTCGTGCAAGCTCAACACTAAGGAAATGGACGGTGTTTGGAGTGCAATGCTTAGATTGTACTCTAAACCATTGCAAAGTTCAGAGTTTGGCATAGTGCATTTTAGTCACCGAGAACTTTCATCTCAATACTGGATACATTATCTTAAATAATAGGCCTGTTGCAAAGCGTGCAGCGCTGTCTGCGACACCGAATGGTCTGTTACGGAATCAGTTGTAGCAGACGACGAAGGAAGCGCAGGCATGTGGGCGAGGGCGTGCGAGCAAGGCACAACTGCGCTACCCCTCTGTCTGTCTTCCTCTCTCTCTCTCTCATTCTCTTCAGTGTCACATGGTAGATGCTTTGTAGGCAAGGAGGAGCATGGAGGACTTTGGGATTTGTGCAAAAGGTCTATTGAGGCTTCTAAAAAGAGAGAATGTGCCAATTTTAGGAGAATTCTAGAATTTTTTTTATCGTGCTCAGTTCATTCTCTTGATGCCAGTATATCAGGACAGGCTTGGCTAGTTTCCATCATTTTTAGTCTGGCTCGTCAGTATGGCCTCCATTGCTGTTGTGCCGTATACTTGGCAAACATCATAGTTATGCCTGTCCTTAACTGTTTTCTCAGTACACAGTTCCCCTGGAAGGAGAGCTAGATGCCAGTTCAATATACCTGGCCTTCACGCAGCCAGAGAATATCAGCCATGAACTGTTTACATCAAACGATGAAGATCTCAAGGCAGGAACTGAAAACTTCTGTCTTTCTTCTCTGAAGGTAAGTGCAGGTGCCTGTAATTATTGTTTGATGTCATTAAAAACTAAATAAATTTGCAGTGGGGAGGAGAAGGGTGATTAGGCATTTGTTTCAATCCGGCAAAGCACCGAGGCTTAATTCAGACCGGCTGTGATTCCCTAAAGATGAACTAAAAGCTCAATTACATGGTGCCTAGACTGCAATAAGCCTCTGTCAGATTGTAGGTACTTGATTCGGGATTCAAATTTCTATTTGGGAATCTGATGGCCAGCACTTTGCTCCAGAGCCACTGAGGCGGCTTGGGCATGCTTTTCACTTGGTATGAATCATTGTACATCTAAAAATGTTGAGCATATTTCTAATGTCTCACAATTGGGCCCTAATGCGGGGTGTGTTCTTATTTTAATAGAAGGGTCAACCCTAGGGTGGTGAAGTTTGCATAATTAAGAAAGGTGCAACGGATAGCTTTAAATTTGAGTGCTGTATTTTCCGGTGTATAAGACACACTTTTTTCCAAAATTTACGGCGGTGCGTCTTATACAAGGTGCATCTTATATGTATACAGTCGAACCTCGATATAACGAACTTCAATGTAACGAAATCCTCGATTTAACGAAGTATTTTATTTTTCATAATTTTTTGCCCATAGACCCCATGTATTTTTAGTCTCTATATAACGAAGTCCATTTTGCTGCTATTTCAATATAACGAAGCGCCATTGCCATAGAAGGCAATAAATAAATAGAATCTAAAAAACAACTTCGCAAAAAAAAAATTGTGGTTAAAAAAAAATTATGCGCAAACGCGAGCGCTTTGAAAGGTTACTTCACGGGGACAGGCCTTCCAACGTTCCTAGGCTGCCCGAGGATGCGGCGCCGGTAGCGCCGGCGAGGCATGCGGCAAAGCGGATTCCGCGGGGCTGGCCAGAAAATGCAAAGCAAAAAGTTAACACGGCATAACAGCATCACCACTGACATTCACTGATCATCATAGTCCACTGTACCGCGTGTAGCGCGGGAGCCAACTTCAGCGGGGGAGCGACGTGATGGCGCGACGCGACCGCACGGGCAGTGCCATCTAGGAAGACCGAGAAGACCGATTATCGTCTTGCGACCGTGATGTAAAGCAAAGGCGCAAGCACACCGTGAGCGCAAGGGGGCAAGTAAACTGTGCGGGCAAGAGTGCTGTGTAGGTTGGAAACATTGGCACCGCCTAAACTAAACAGCTTTATTTTTCAACCGGGCGGTTCACTCACGTGCTTGCTGGCATAAGGAAACGTAAAGTTCTTTTTTTGGATGAGAAAGCAAAAGTTTTGGACGCCATCCTGAAGAAAGTGCTGAGATCACGAGCACTCCGGAAGTGCTCGACGCAATGGACGTACTGAGGAGGTACACGGCGTCGCATAGGCAGCAGGATGCCGTGCAAGCGCTTTGGGCGCTCGAACGCCGTATGACGCCGCTGCTACTGTCGCAAAAGGCGCAAGCAAAACTCGCGGACTACTTTGCCCCAAAATAAATGTCATTTTCGGTGAGTTTTCATACCCGTAAAATGTTTCGGAATTTTTTTTTTGCATGCTAAAACCAAATTTCGATTTAGCGAAATTTCAATGTAACGAAGTAAATTGCGAATTTTACCGACTTCGTTACATCGAGGTTTAACTGTATTTCTTTCCTTTTTGGCAAACTCTGAAGGAACTCCTGTTGAATCTGATTAGTCTTTTTTTAACTATTTTGACAGCTCAATGTAAATGATGCATCATAAATTTGTCTTATACACAGGTGCGTCTTATGCATAGGTGCGTCTTATATACTAATTTGTACTTAGAAACTTGTGAAAAGTGGGGGGTGCGTCTTATACAACGATGCATCTTATACATCGGAAAATATGGTAGATGATCACCTTTGGTGCTATATGCCTCTTGGGCTCTGATACTACTATATGATATACATGACAATGGTCAATATGGTACCAGTAATTTAAATGCTTTTTACAGGCCATGCTGTACTTCCTGCATGTTCAGCATTCCGAGTTTCTTCGAAGAATCGCACTGTGTCTGATGCCAGGAGTCACAAAAAGCTGTAAGTGAACCATTAATTGGGCTCTGCACAGTGAGGCTAGATTGACAATGCCATATGAATACTTTTAGAACTGTATTTATCAGAAGTTAGACTGTAGGCAATGTATTGATCTGCCTTGAGATAACATTTTGCCTTAGAGTGTTTCAGGAAACTGATATAAAACTTTGTTTTCATAGTCTATTAAAACTGCATGCACTGAAATTTTTTGTTTCATTATTAGCATGGAAACTGCCATGTATCGAGTTTATCCCATTTCTCTTATTTTTCAACCTGTTGGCGGTTACAGTCAACTCTTATTATTCGAACTCCAGAAAGCCACAGACTTGAATTTGAAATATCAGAAGTTTGAATGATCAGAAATTCATCTAAATACGATGTGAGACAAAGTAACGATTTGCTAAAGGAATAGCAACACATACCAAGCAGATTTCTTACACTTCTCTCTACACAGGCCGATTGATAAGCAGGTGCAAACATCACACATTGGTGAGGTTCGAAGCGAATGGTGGCTTTGGCCGAGTATTTTCTAATCGAATATCAAATAGTTTCTCCAAGGCTTTTACTACCGTTGTACCATGCTTAAACGAAAATTTAAAAGTTGTTCTTAACCTTCCACTTGTCCACTTCCGAGCTCAGTTAGTTTTAATATAACTTTATCTATAAACCGTGGCCTCAGAAAGTCCAGTGGCCACATTGGGGTGGCATATAAATGACAGATTTGCCCAGCTATCGTAATCGAGGGAATTTATAAATCGGCTTGCTATATGAAATATTCTTTCTTTAATCTCGAAATTAACCCCCTCAGAAAAATAAAAAAAACAAGCATGAATAATGAAAGGAGATTGTCAAGACAGTACTGCTTGAATAATCGTGGTTGGTTAGTCCCTCCGAGTGCGCTTTTCACTGAGCACCCATGCACTGCGGAAAAACAATGCCCGTGAGTTTTGCGGGTATTGCTTTCCCGCAGTACACAGTTGCCCAGTGAGAAGCACACTCAACGGGGCTAACCCGCCGCGACGAAAAAATAGTGTGAATTAAGTGAAAACGCTGTCTGAATTAAGCAGCTTATAGATGCATTGAAAACATAGCGGGACAACAAAAATTTTTAAATTTGTTTGAATTGTTATGTATCAATGCACAGTAACCACTTCCGAAACCGTTCCAATCACCTGCAGCCAGTCCCGCGTACGCTCGCTATTCACTGCCGCTTCTTCCTCTTTACTCTCGTTCCCCCGCGCATCCGCGGGACGGGCCCGTTCGGTGCCGCGCTATCCCTCACAATCCTCCCCCCTTAGAAAGCGAAGTCCGGTCGGTCTTCGCAGAACTTCAACTGCTGGTCCACATGTGCCAGTCCCGCCAGTCTTCCAGTTCTTGGGTCCCTCAGACGATAGTCATTGGCCCCCACTTTCCCTACCACCACGAAAGGTCCCGAACGTCTTGGAGCCAGTTTCGCTGCCACTCCTTTGCTGGCATCACTGAGGGTGTGCAGGTCGCGTAGTACTGTGTCACCTATTTGGAACTCCGACTGCTGTCGGGTTCGATTGTAGTAACGCCGCTGTTGCTCTTGCACTTTTCTTTGGTTGTCGAGAGCAAACTCATACGCGTCCTGTAGTCTAGACGTCAAATCTGCCACGAAGCCCGGCGTACCCCTGATTGGTAAAGGGAGTTGGCCGGGGTTTTGTTCCCAAGGGCAGCGGAGCTGGCGCCCATAACACAAAAGGGCAGGCGAGTACCCTGTGGTGACGCTCTCACAGGTTCGCATTGTAAAGGGGACCTCTGGGATATGTTGATCCCAGTCACGGTGGGCACTGCAATATGCCATCAGGCACTGCTTTACTGTCGCATTATGCCGCTCCACCAGCTGTCCTGCTGGGCGGTATGGCACCGTGTGGCGGTCTCTGATGCCAAGGTGTTTCATTACTGCTTTCCACAGGTTTGACACAAAGACACGCCCATTGTCACTAGAGATGCTCTTGGGGAAGCCATGTCGACAAAACACTTCCAGCATTCTTTCTAATATGGCCTTGCTGGTCGGAGCTCGAAGCGGGAATAGCTCCACAAACTTGGTAAATTTGACGATGATCACCAGCAGGTGTTTGTGTTGGCGCTTTGAGGTAGGCAATGGTCCGATGAGGTCCACACTCAGCTCTGCCATGGGTTCCTCTGCCCAAGTGCTGTCTACAGTCCGCCTGGCTTCTGGCGGCGAGGCTTCAGTGTCTGGCATGAATGGCAAGACCTTACATACCGAGACACATCGGATCTCATGCTTAGCCAAAAATATGTTTCGGACACTCGTCTCAGTGTCTTGAAATAACCTAGGTGGCCACTTAGAGGGTGATCATGTGACAATTGGAGCACTGTTTGGCATAGTTGTTTGGGCATCTAAAGGAGTCTTCTTTCGCCTGCAATCTTCAGCAGCAGGCCATCATGGTCCAGTTCGCTGTCCTCAGCCATGTTCCGAATCTGGCATGCTTCTGCAGAGTCAGTCGGTAGGGTGCCGTCCTTGAGATAGCTAATCAGCTTGATGATCCCAGGGTCCTTTCGCTGTTCGTCAGCAAGCTCGGATGCTCTGAGGAGGTGTGAGATGTCGGTCTCCTGGACCATCGCATTCTCCTCGAACCGGACCCGGTATTCTGTTTCCACGGTGTCAATGGGGAACCATTCGTTGTCAGTCGCTCTTGTCTCCGAGCCTAATGTAGCTGGGGCAGGGAAACGGCTCAGCGCGTCCTCTGGGATGTTGGCTTTTCCCCGTCGATCCTGATGAGGCAATCAAATCCCTGCAGGCGCAGCACCCATCGACGCACCCTGCTTGAAGTTTGGTCCGTGGTGAACATCCACCTAAGAGAGGCGTGGTCAGTGTGGATCTCAAACTTGGTATGCTCCAAATATGGGCGGAATTTGTCAACGGCCCATACTACCGCCAAACACTCCCACTCCTGCACCGTGTAGTGCCTCTCCGCTTCCTTCAGGGCTCTGCTGATGAACGACACTGGCCTCAGCCTCCCTACAGTCTCCTGTAAGAGAACTGCCGCAATGCCCCTCCCACTGGCATCCGTTTCCACCACAAATGGCCGGTTGAGATCTGGGAGTGCAACCACCACGTCATCAGCCAGCATAGACTTGAGCTTACGAAATGCCTCCTCTTGAGGGTTCCTCCAACACCACGAGACCTTATTCTGCAGGAGGAATGACAGTGGCTGAGCCACCTCGGAGAACTTCGGCAGGAAGGTGCGGTAGTACCCCGCCAATCCTAGGAAGGCCTGAAGATCCTTGACTGTTCGTGGGGTTGGAAAGTCCCTGACGGCCACAACCTTATCAGGATCAGGTCGGCACTCTCCCGGCGAGATGATGTGCCCCAGGAACTTTAGTGATCGCCTGCAAGTTTGTGTCTTCTTAGGGTTGATGGTCAATCCAGCATGGGTGATCCTGCCCAAGACCTCTTCAATATGCCTCAGATGCTCTTCGAACGAACTTGGGTATACTAGCACATCGTCCAAAAAGGCCATACAAAACTTGTGCTTTATCCCCGCCAGTACTTTGTCCATGAGGTTTTGGAATGTAGCTGGTCCACCAGCCACACCAAAGGGCATCCTCTTAAACTCAAACGTACCTTGGTGGCATATAAAAGCAGTCTTGGGGACATCCTCGGGGCGAACAGGGATCTGGAAAAAGCCCTGCGACAAATCAAAGCTCGTGAACCATTGGGCTCCGCCCAGGTGTGCAAGTACCCAGTCTGTCCTGGGCATCGGGTACACCGGAAACTTGGTTTTGGCATTCAGTAAACGGTAGCCCACTGCCAGCCGATACTCTCCAGACTTTTTTACGACTAGGACTAGGGCACAGGACCCTGACTGGAGCTTGGTTGGATCAAGCCTTGGTGCAGCAAATCTTCCAGGCAGGCATCCATAATCTGTCTTTTGTGGGAGTTGACTGGGCGAAGCCTACAGCGCATTGGCAGAGAACTCTCCGTGCTGATACTGTGCTCCATCAGTCCGGTACAACCAGGGCGAGCGTCAAAAATCTGATCAAATCTTCCTAGTAGGGCCGAAATTTCCGGATGTTCAGTGCCATGTTGCTGAATTGCGTCCTCCTCCGAGGGCTGCTGGGCGTCTTGATTCTGGTCGGGTTCCTGGTGTGCGACTTGATGAGGCTCTGCAAACAACTCCTGCAGACTGTACACCTCCTCACCCAGCCGGGGATGGACTGGCGCCCTAGAGCCAACGTCCCGGACAAGGGGGATTAGGGCCTGTGGTTCATTGCCCAGAGTCCAAGAGTTCAGAGACACATGAACCGAGATGTTAGTGGCATTCAGAAAATCCCTACCAAGTACAATGTCTCGGCAGAGGCCTGGCATATGCAGGAATCGCTGCTTCCTGGATCCTCCGGGCCAGTGTATTCTGCACCTAGTTGAATGCGTAATCTCGGACCAGCCCGCTGCAAGACGTAGGCCTCGTCGTTCCTCCTTGACGCCCACACCAGTGGCTGTGGCTGCCTCCATTGCTTCATCTCCCATTAAGCTGATGCTAGGCCCCGTGTCCAAAAGCGCCTTGAATGTGAACTTCCCAATACGAAGCTCTAACAATGGCTCCTTGCCGCCGGCTGTTGCAGCTACCTGCACTGTGGTGTCGTAGAGGTCCGCCGGAGTGGCCTCTTCTGCCAAGAGTTTCCCTGGCACCTCGCTTGCATGTGGCCAAGCTGGCCACACTTGAAACAGCGTGGTGAGCCCTGGCGTCTAGCTGTGGGACATTGTCGTTGCATATGTCCGATGCCGCCACAACGATGGCACTGGATCTGTGGAGGCATGTTGGTTGCTGGGTACTGGTGAAGACTGCTGTGCAGGCCCGTCTGGTGGATCATTCTCACTGCTCCGACTGCACTCAGCTGGTCTCGATATTATGATGGCTGGAGGGATGCCGGATGCAGGGGCCAGGCCTGGCTAGAAACTGGTGGTGGCACTGGTGCCGCTGCCACTGCAGCACTTTGAGCTGGTGCATGAGTCGTTGCACTCTTGCTGTAGAAGGCAAGGTCCCGTGCAACTTGGTTGGTGGGCTGTGGCGGGGGAACATACTGCACCCGCCGCCATACTCTTTCCATTAGCCCATCCGCTGCCTGCGCAAGCTCTTTCAGGCTCGCAAAGGTCTTACCTGCACAGAAGTCTTGGAACTGAGGGTGCATTTGCTCCAACACCCGCTCGACTTTTTCGGCCTCAGTCACATCGTCGCCGATCCTGTCATAGTACGAGGCTATAACATAGATGAACTGTTTAAGGTTCTCCTCCGGGTGTTGAGTTTGAAGCCTCAGTTCTTGCTTTAGGCGTTTCTTTTCGTCGACGAGTGCGAACTCCTTTCGGAAAGTGGTAGCAAACGTTGACCAGTCGGCGAAGTCCTCTGTGAACCGAAACCACAGTTTCGCGCTCCCCTGGAGGGCTGCAGGTACGACCCGCCTAAGCCGGTCCTCGAGTTTCACGCCTTGAACGAGGCAAAAGTTCTCCAGGTGATCCAGGAACTCATCTGGCGACTGCAAATCTCCGAAACCGATGAATTTCGGGGGCTGAACGGGGACCAGTCGTGGGCGTGTCGAGTCTTGGTCATCCGTTGTGCTGGCCTCAGTGACAGCCGCTGCAACGAAGGGCGCCGCTCCCTCTTCCGTGGCTCGTATCGGAGTAGCAAACAAAAGCTCACGAACGTGGGCCGCGATCTTCTCCCGCTGTAGCGGTGTCCCGTCTGTTTGTTGCAGCAGTGCCTGAAGAAGCTCCGGTGGCACGAACACCGACGGTTGGTTCATTTTAAGCAACGGACGAGCCCCCACTTGTTATGTATCAATGCACAGTATCCACTTCCGAAACCGTTCCAGTTACCTGCGGCCAGTCCCGCGTACGCTCGCTATTCACTGCCGCTTCTTCCTCTTTACTCTCGTTCCCCCCGCGCATCCGCGGGACGGGCCCGTTCGGTTTAGCGCTATCCCTCACAGAATTAACCGGAAGTATGAAATTTGAATTATCGCGAGTCCACTGTACGACACCATGTTAGATGATAGTACAGAAATGAGCCATATTTTTTTTCTGCGATTGCAGTGCTCAGCAATGCAGTGGCTGTAGCCAAAATAGTTAACCAGGCAAACTTTGAGTGCCAGCAGCAGCTGAGGAAGCTCAACAACGCCCACCAGCTCTACGTGAGCAGCTGCGTGCCAGAAGACGAGACTGAAGTTCGAGTCTCAAGGCCAGTAAGACGCGATCTACAGGAGCTCCAGCTGACCGTACACAGCCTGGTGCTTCACCTTCGGGCAGCATTGAAGCGGTATGTTTTGCTCCTGGAAAACAACAGAAAACAAGGTCGTGGGGAGGGGCTCACTTCGAAGACTTTCAGGGATTAGGATGGGTGTGGGCTGGACTTAGAGCACTGGTTTTGTACTTTTGGTTTCAAAGTTCAGCATCCTTGGTTTGAGAGAGGGAAGCTCTGTGATAGTAGAAGTCTTTTTGGTTGCACGGATGTGCAAAAATAGCCTCTAAGGCACGACTCAAAAACAAGACATCCCTCCAGTTTTTTGTGTTCAGCAAGGTATGGGGATTGAGCATTAAAGCGACCTTCGCATCATTTTCAATCTCTTTCAATGTTTGTATTAGGAATTGATTAGCATTCAATTGAAATATGGTTCTAAAAATTAGCTACTGTTAGGCGCTGCAGGGGGGGAAAAGTTATTTCATAGAACGTCACTGATATGTGTCTGTATTGTGGACGTTCCAGATTCGGTGTGAGCAGGACCTAGGAAAGGGGAAGGGAAACAGAAAACCAGCCCAGTTATAGTCACATACAGAACTAGCCCGGCAGGATGTGTCGTTCGGACGCCTGGCCTTTAGCACATACTTCATGACTTCCGGCGTACTTTGACTCAAGGTGCACGCTCAAGGTGCACAAGATGCCAAAGCATTGTCGAGAGTAGGAAGCTCACGCTGGCAGCTGAAGCTCTTCTCGGTGTTCAAGCGTACGAAGGCGCAGAGACACAGCACTTGGCGTGCCAAGGAAGCTTTGACCACACCGCGAGATTGACGAAACTTGCTTTCAACTAGTTGTGCTTTTTTCCTGCGGTGCAGTGCTTTTGTAAAAATTTCCACTTTTTCTCAAAGGCAATTTTCACCGTTTACATAAGGTTTTCAAATGCTTCTTCGGCGAGTGACAACGAACGAGTAGAAACAGCGTCATCAGCTCACTGCCGCCAGCCTCTGCAATGCTCCAAAAAGACGATTTGGCTGCACGCAAAATGGCTGTTCGATGGCCGCACTCACGGAGCAGGGAAGCGCTGTGCAGCAGCTTGATGTGGTGGCTGTAGGCCTACCCTTCCTGCAGCACTTTGACTCCTGCTGAGGAGGTACCCTAGGCTTCTCCATTTCGGCCCCTTCGTTTTGGTCTGTTTGCAGGAACTAACGCAGTTCGTTTCTGTTTTCTCAAAAACCTGTTTTGTTTTGTTGTTTGTGAACAAACGTCTATTTTTAGTAAATGAAGACCAAACTTAACTTGCACAGTGCAGTCTTTTTCAGGTGATTATATTGGCACACATTTCTCCGATCACGGTTGTCACAACAGTTGTTCACGGCGGCTCAGGCAGTCAGAGTGGTGGCATTCTCTCCCGGCTCCAAACAAAGAGCATTCACCTTATGATGGATCGCGGCGGGCGCTACGAGCCATCCCAGGCTCTGTCCCAGTCAGTCCAACGCTGTGGACGTGCCACTTGACTATGCGTACCACGGGTCATCACGCCCCTTCCGAGGAGGCTCCGGAAGCTCGCTGGGTTTGCTGCGGTCCATCGTGAGGTGAAACACAGTATAGAGAGAGCTGAGACAGTGAGAAAAACCGCTCTGTAGCCCGGCAATGCTTGAACTTGTGCGCACTCAGCAGGTCGCAGAGTTTGGAGAGATTACAAGAGGAATGGCCCATAAAGATGTCAAGTGGAAGTTTCGTGCGCCTGGTCTCCCTGTGAAGGTCGTTATCGTCGTGTCCTCGCGGCCCGAGCAGACTCTGCCAACAGAAAGATGAAGAACCAAACGGTAATACACACAAGCAAGACACTGCAGAAACATCTCGGCATTAAAATAAGAGGGCGGTATGCCGAGTTCGCCAAAAGGAAACGGTATCAAGTGTCGCTCCAAGCCGACCCGCAGGGGAAAAAATGTTGTTCTTCGATTAGTTTTACCAACTTCCTATTTGGGGCTGGAGCCTGGGATTCGTCGCTTGTGACTGCTGTTGGCGGGGGACTGCGGTGTTTTCAGAAACAGGTGTGCGTTTAGGGTTGGTCGAAGAGGCAGATGGCTTTTTTTTTTTATTTGTAGGTTTTGTGGAATACAGAGAGACATCTTGCTTTTTAAAGTGTTTTCTTATTTAGTCGTGTATGTACGAAGGCTACGCTTTTTTTTCAATAACACTTTCTGTAAATATTGTGTCAATATTTTTACAGCGGAGCTGTTAAGGGCTAGGCTCCCCAGGATCGTGTCCGTGTATGTTGACACAAACCTACCTGAACAGCTACCGCCATCTATAAGCGTCGGCGGCAAGCACACAACCAGTATGGTTTCCACCGTCGCTCGTAGATGGCGGCAACTTTTTTAGCTATAACAGAAGAATAGATAGTTGGCCGCCCCCCACTGGTGGGAATTCATCGTAGGAAACAGCGCGAAAAACAGGCGACGACGAAGAAGAAGCACACAGTGTATCGAGTACAGCTCCACTGGTGTTCCTTCTTCATGAGATTGGAAAGGCTGAACGTTTTTTAAATTGCGTTTGGTTGTTTTTTTTGCTTGTTTTTGGTTCGGGGGTGGGGTTGGGGCGGGGGGTCTTACTTGGAGGAGAAGTGCTTTTTTTGCATCTTCCGCCTACCTCCATGCAAGTCTGAAGTTCTGTTCCGCGCCTGGTCAGCCTGGTTCTCGTCATCTCTTCACTAGATGGCCTCTCGGTGCTATCAGCACCTGGTCTTGGCGAGTTCGTTTACTTCAGGTCAATTATTTTCGAATTCTTTTATATCTACTTCAAATATTTTCTGACTCATTTCTTTTTTTTGTTCTTCCATGGTCTGTCAATACAAGGGCAAAAGTGGCAAAATCTGCAAATCAATTTGAGGCAACTTGAAAGCGTTGCACATACACGAAGGCTTGCATGCATGCTCACTCATGTACAGGACGCGAAGCATCAAAAGAAATGTAATAATGTTAAGATAAACAATATTGTCAGTCTCAGTTTCTTCCTGTACATGTGACCTCTCATAAGCACACGCATCTTTGAAAGGATCAGGCTTGGACGAGGCAAATAAAAAATAAAGAATGTCGTGGTTGGCCCGAGAAGTACATCCAATCAATTTCCTCCAGCTGCTGGCTGTAGTGTACATTCGGTTCAACCCCTAATTTGACAGTTCGGTAGAAGCTACTTACTCGTTGGACCAGTCGTAAGTTTTACTTTTGCCACGTGATCACGCGCCCACCCATACCGTCGCAGAGAGAAAGTTTTTGGTCAGGTGATGAAAGGGAGGCGGTTCATTGGTGGGGCAAGTGCTTAGCTCGTTGCACTGCACTGTCAGCTCAGGGGCGAAGGGAAGAGGAAATGTTTTGCGGGATTTCGGAGGTTAAATGTGCGTAATACCTATGAGAAAGTCTAGTTTATAACGTTGACAAAAGTTTTTCGAGCTAAGAAAGAAACTATAATGCGCGAGAGAAATAGAAATTATGCCGGACCGCCAAGTTTACACTGCTACCCAATAGATAGCGCCAGTGTGTCCTCTCGTCGTAAGAGATAACAAGGGGTTCCAAGGCACTCGATCCTAAGAGGTCGCAAGTGTGCGAACGGGCCTTTAAATAACGACAAGCTCCGAAACTGTGGCATCTGGTCCAAACCACTAGCGCTGCATTTGGGAAAAGACTGCACTGTCAGCAATGCATAGTTTATTTTTGCGGCAAAAAGAACTCTAAATGTCTTGGGAGACATAAGAAAAATAGCAAATAATGAGACCGAGAAAGTGATTCTCTGCGAAATTGTGATCTGCACAGATAGCATTTTTGTGTCAGGGTGTTATCTCTGTTCCGGAAGTTCCTGTTGATTGCATTAATTGTCTGTCGGCACGTTCATCGGGAATGTAGATGCGCAGGCTTTGTTCATAAACAGAGGAGCAATTACCCACATCAATATGGTATGTGTCTCTCCGTAGTGTCCAAAATAAGTGAATCCACAATTGCTTTCACACAAAAAAATAAACATTGGGGAGCGAAAATTCTTATGCCAACGAAGCTGGGCTGCTGCATTTGCACATCTCATTGTGTTGATAAGCTTTGGTTCCAGGCAGCCTAAAGGCTTTAATGAAGTGGCTTTTGAAACAGTCTCGGAACAAATTAAGGGTGCACTTTGACTGCACAAAAACCTTTTTGTTTTGTAATGTTGAACTGGGCCAATAGTTCACTTTGTTTCGCTAACCTTGGAAAAAGTCGGCCACTTGTAAAGGAAAGAAACATATTCTTGTTTACACTCAAAATGTCAACTAATCTCAGGCATTATTTTGTCTCTTAGGGTTCAAGCAGTGGAAACCATCACAGAGTCTCTTGGGGAAGAGACCAAGCTGGAGGCCATTGAGTCTCAGATAAGCTGCCTCCTGGCAGAAGTCAAGGCAGAAGTGGGATCAAGTAGCAGCTGCTTGGAGGAGGCTGCACTCTTACTGGACAAGCAGGCAGGTTCGTGATACTTCACGTTTGCACAAAATTGTAAGAGTCTGAAATTTTGAGCATTCTATACAATTCGTTTGTTAAGCTGAAAAGGAAGAGATAATAGTGTTTATGGACATTTATGTTTAAAGGGACACTGACAGGGTATTTATGTTCGCCGAGGTTTTAAGTTGTACATGACATATGAGAGCCCAACTACCCAGAACAGAATTTGCGGCTTGAAATTTGGTTTCTTTCCGCCTGAAAACCGCCGATCGAGAACTGGCCAGTTTGAGTCGCACTCACTCTCTTTTTTGTGGTCACGGGCCGTTTTCTAAGTTTTAGACATGACCACCAAATGTAATCAAAGTCGTGGGTCGTTGAAGGCACACGATCAATACAGTCGAATCTCGCTAATTCAGTTTTAAAGGGGACCGAATATTTGTTTGAATAAAGCAAAGTTTGAATTACCGGGAGTTGCCTTCCATAAAGAGGCATAGGATAAGACCTGCATCTTAGTTTGAATTATCCGCAAGTTTGAATTAATGAGAGTCGACTGTATTAAAAATAGAAAAAATTATGAAACCCATTTTTTGTGGGTTCCAAAAGGCTGTGAATACGTTGTTTGAAAAAAAAAAAATAAAAAAAGGTTGCACAGACAACCGGAAGCATTCTATGTGTTCACTGGTAATTCTCAACATGGCGTCATTTCGCATATCGTGGGACTCGCGGATGGCAGTGGACGACGGGCGTGGGACCTCTACTTTAGAACTGTCGTTTACGGTACCGGTGAATTCTGTCTTCCTTCGAAAGAGAAATTTTGGACCGATCAAAAGAATTGGTATTTACCCCGTACGACACGCCCGACTACCAAGCCGATTGCACGATGACGTCGCCGAGCCGTCGTCCCTTCTCGTGGCTGAAGACATCGCTCGCGCAAACGTCAAGCATGAAGTGCATACTTCGAGTTGAATATGCACACGTACGATTTCTTTACTAGGTGCCAGGGATGGGCAAAATACATGCAAATATGTATCGAAATACAAATACAAAATACTTCGTCAAAAATGTATTTAATTACAAATCCAATTACATTTCCAAAAAAGCATTTAAGTACAAGATACGAATACAACCAAATGTATTTGGTCTCCTCCAAATGCTTTTCCAAATACATTCCTCAAAATTTACGTCAGCGACTTCAGGGCACCTGCAACGGGTTTCTGGGTATCTCATTTTAATTTTGCATCGCACACTCGGGAGTTAGTGTGCCAGACTCTAGTAACGTAATCGAAATATAATCACAAAAAAATGGAACCAGCTTGGACGTAATAGGTGAAGAAAGTACAGAGCTTCAAGCAGCTTTTTTTGTGGATTACATTTTGGTATAGACCAACAAAGAACCGAGACGACCAAGACGCCCAGCACTAGCTAGCGAATTTTTTATTGTTGCAACTCGCACCAGTTACGAAAATCTGGACGACCCGCGCATTTAGAATGTTCCAGGCAAAGATATGGATGGAAATCAGGCTGGAAAGCATCACAAGTTGTCACAGGCACTTATTTAGCCAGTCTGCCTGTGAACGTCGATTTCGTCACTATTCTTGCCCTGGACTAGCACCGTAATCACAAAGTCAGTAAACGCTTGTGCTTGATTGAGAGACACTGCATTCGGTGCAGAACGTAGTTTTCTTTCTGCTCTGGACAGTGACAATAAATTTGAGGGCTGTATTTTTGCCCACAAAATTGTATTTAATTACAATTGTATTTGAAATACCCACATTTTAGTACTTAAATACACATGTCAAATACATTACCCAATTTGTAATTAAATACAAACGCAAAATACACAACGTATTTGAAATACGTATTTCAAATATTTGTATTTGAGATGCTGCCCATCCCTACTAGGTGCGAATGTGGCCAATGCATGGTGCTGCCCGACTTCGAGTTGGGAGTGCCTTTGCTGAAGGGAAATCGGCAGCAAACTTTCCGACCTACAGTCGACCGGCTGCGTTACTACGAACGACAGAATTCTCCCAGTAGCTTAGTGGAAAGACGACCGCTTCACACGCAGCGGGTACGGGTTCAATCCATAGTGTGGGAGTACCTTTTTTTTTTTGTCATACATTTTGCGATGTTTAGATTTATTTTCTTACAATTATCAATGAAAAAAACATTCAGCCTTTTCACTCTCGTGAAGATGGAAGACCAGCGGAGCTGTACTCGATACAATGCCGCAACGTGCACACGCTCGTTTCCCACTTCTTCTCGTCTGACATGCCGCCGATCATAGATACGTCTCCGGCGACCGAGATTAGGTCGCACACGGCGCACGTGACGCCAAATGGGTAATCCGGCCATGAACTCCCTCCTTAACATCGCCGTTGCGCCCGGGAACTGTTCAGCCGGCGTGAAGTGCAGTCGTCGCCGTGCCTCGCGCTTGCGCTTGGCCTTCGTGGCATGATCGTTGTCCGTGGCGTTGGCCCGACGGCACCCTTTACATCCCTGGTTCTGTTCTCGGCGGCGGCTTTCCAGGCGAGCGATGTGCTCTTCTTTGGCGAGGGAATCTGAAGCGCTCGACGCAGTGGAAGTCGAGGCGACAGCAGCTTTGCGGCGGTTACGGACCCATTCGCGCTGCTGCGTACATCGCCGCTCCTTCCGCAGCCAGTGTTCTTTCCCTGAAAGGGCGTCATCTGGGATGCAGATGTTGCACTTGTCATCTTATGACTGTGATGTTCAGGAAAGCGCTTCCCAAAGACATCAATAACACTAGCCTTGTTAGAAAGGAGGTGTTTTTTTTCCTTTCAAAGTTATTTTGAGAGCATTCAGATAACCCGAGTTGTCAGAGAACGACTCCAAAACCTCTGGCAACTGTTAATCTTCCAGCTTGCGTGTTTCCTCTTTTTTTTACCCCGGAGTATGATCCTGTGATATGCATGACAAAGCAATCATAGTTTTCCATGCATCAGCTGCCCTAGTAGGGGAGGTAGGGGATGCATGCTTCCTTATGCTCCCTTAAGTGTTTTTCAAGCTTTCTGTTGTGGGATTCGACTTGCCTTACTGCACCACGAGGTCGATCCCACCCCGTAGCTCAATGTTGATGACTGCTACGGCAGGGTCCGTCCGGCAGTGGTGTTAACTTGGCGAGAAAGTCGCTAAATTTAGAGTGTTTTCAGTCGTCCTAACGACAATTTTGTGTTTTTGGAGTCTTAGCGACTTTTTTGGGGACTTTTTTTTTCCAGTTATGTAAATTGTTGTTACTAAAGCTACGTGGGGGGGGGGGGGGGGGGGGGGATATGTCAGTCCGATAGCTCTCCGGTGGCTTCCAGGGAACAGCTCTGGATGTCACTCATTTTTATTCATCCTGTTGTAGGTGAGGTGACGTTCTCCGACCTCGAAGCACTTTAGAACCCTTCCATTTTTCAGGGATTATCAAGTGTTAAAAAAAAATCCTTTGTAACTGCCGAAAAAAAAAAAGAAAAATTAAAGCGAGGGTTTTGTTCGATAAGGATGAAGCAGAACAGCCTTCCGCTGTTTTGTTCATGGACCAGGATCTTCTCGCCAACGCCTTGAGTCACTCAAGGTGTTGGCGAGTCCCTTGGGAATGGGACGGCCGACTCCAACTACTCACTTGTCTCGTCACAAAAAAAAAGAAAAAAAATGTTTGAAAAAAAAAAAAAGAAAAAAACCTTTACGTATTATACAATAAAAAAAATCCAAAAAAGGTCATCATCATCATCACCACTCAGCGACTTTTCGCTAAAACTAGCGACTTTTGGGCCGCGTCCTGGCGACTTCGCCCAAAAAAACTTAACAGCACTGCCGTCCGGAGGCTGCCATGGACTCCGAGGAGAGGATTCACTCCAAAACACAAAGATACTGAAGAAGCGGGTTTGTTCGGCTCCTGTGCCACCACACTGTGCCCGTCGGCAAAACTAATAAAAGAAAGGAACGAAAAAATGTCGGCGCTGTCGCGTTATGGTTCAATAACCATCCCACGCTGCCGCATTAGGCAGATTCGTGGAAAGGGGAAAGCTCCAAAAAGAACGAGGCTCCATGGCCTAGAGCCTTCCCCGACAAGAGTCCCGGCCGCCGTTCGCGGGCCGCTTATCTAGCCAGCGGAAAGTGTACGCGCCCGGGGTAGGTAGTGTGGCTTATCCCGCAGATGGGCCGCGTCCACAATCATTTCTGAAGGGTGCGCCGGAGGCACTTTCACCCAAAAGGGCGAGGGAAGACACGCCCTCTTCGAGGAACGCGGCCTTACCCCCGTGTCCGGGTTGACGTCGCCATAACGCTCCCACGGCTTGCGTGTGCTAGGCCTAGATAGGGAGACGGGAAACACGTGTTTCCCACACTGTAGAGAGCAACACGCATCAGCCAGCATGGAGATTTGAACAAATGATTTTTATGTCGCGCGGCCCGCGCTCGTGTTCAGACCGCGGCATCACACAGAGAAAGGTGGCGCCATCTCTCGCTGGTTACTACATCTCTCTTCTCTGGAGAAGTCAGCATAGAGCGTCACCATCAACATGGTTGGGGTATCGCTGTGGTGGCAAGCTTCTTTCTCTTGTTCCTCTTCGCGGCTGCGGTCCCGGCTGAGGCTGACTCCGGTTAAAGTCACTGGGACTCAGTTTCGTGCCGGCCGTATCTTTCCCCGTGGAGGTCAGTTCTTGTCAAGAATCTGTCGCTGGTCGTAAGTGTTCATGGGTTCTTCGGCGTACTTGACCTTCTGGGGTTAGAATGTTCTAGGACCTCGGCTCTGGATGTCCTACGACTATGGCAGGTGACCATGTGCACCGCAGGGTGTTGTAGAGGTGACTGTAGAACCCGTGTCAGTGTCTGGGTGCATTCTCGAGTTTCTGTCGTAGTTCGCCTTTTGTTGCCGCCTTATTTCTGTGAGACGACGTGTGACAGCCTTGGGTGGCACAACAGCGGACAGGTAATGTTCCGATCGCGCAGGTAACAGTGTCCTTGTGTGTCGGCTCATCAGTTTCTGTACTGGTGATTGGAGGACATCATCTCGTGGAGTA